TGTGTCTCTCCTTCTATCTCAACATCTGAATCTTCCCCCGTTTTTCTTGTACCTATAGCCAGGGGAATTGTTCCAAAAAACACAAGGATACAAGCCATAAAACATTAAGACAGAAAAGATATATAAAGCTGTAATGGCCTGTGAGACACTGTAATACCCTTTATTTTTAAGCAGATAATCTATATGAAATTCTATAAAAAATAATCTTCAAGGAAAAAAGAACATGTACACTTTCTTGAAGGTTTAAAGTCTTCAAAGATAGTTTTAGAGTTTAGATAAATATATCTCAGAACTTTTCCTAGTATCTAGATACAAAATGTTTGTATTTCCCCCTTCACAACACACCTCTATTGCTTTACTGTTGCTCAATTTAGTCTTCATTGGCTTCAGTTTTCTTTGCCCTTGTTGCCCGACAATCACTCATGGGTTCCTTTTGCAAGGATGCCCGGGGTTGAAAGTGCATGACACACAATACATGTACCACCTGACCAACTCCTGCCACCACCATACACCACCCACCGGTGGCATTAACATGCACATGTATAGAGGTGAACCAAAATCGTTTTTGTGGTTAACTGGGTGGTTTATGGTTACACATTCGCCACCGCTGCTCGTGCCTTTTCGCTTTTGTGGCTCTACTTCTTTGGTTCGCAGGCCATCTAATAAATGAGGGCGACCGGTGGGCGTGGCCGGCCATTTGCTGACCGCATTCAAAAAGAGCTGGCCTGGCCTCCATTTGGCCTCTTTTGTCTCCAATTAAAGGCTGGCAGAGCTCAAAGAAACTGAAGCAAAGCTAATTTCACTGGAAGAAATTTAAAGATAATTCTTCAAGGAAGTTAATAAGTAAAATGTTTTTTTCTTAAAAGACTGATGTTTATCTGATTACTAGATTTTAATTTATTAAAGTAAATTACAACTCACCTAAAAAAGTCTGAAAGAAATTCCCAAGCTTTAATTCTGGATCAGTGGCTTAGTTTTTCCACAAGTTTTTGTTAAGAAAAACCTAAAACAAACCAACTACTCTACTTGTCTTCTAAAAAGAACAAAATCTGTTTGTATTCTGGCATAAAATCAATTCTAAACACCTTAATTTAAGTTAGTTAAACATATGATATATTTCCAGTGCAGCCTAAATCTCTGAGACTGTCTTTATTGCCAACAACATCCGCGTTTGCTGTCATGGGGGTTATGACAATTTCCCCACAGATGTCATCGCGATGGTATTTTAATTCATTTAATTAAAAGTTTAATTACATTTTTGTTTTGGCAGCCATGAACTCCGTGACATCTGCCAGGCCCATTAGGGCTGTACGGATTTCATAATGCCAGCAGCAAGTGACTAGCGCAACAATTTTCTGGCCACTAATTTCGTTTTGATTTTGGATTTCAGATTTTGATTTCGATTCGGATTTGGCTTTAGTTGGGGGCTGTGGATGTGGTCATTGCTGAAACGGTGACGGTTTAATTAATTCCAGATTCAAGTCCATCAAACAAAAGCTGGCAATAATAGAAAGGGAAGCCAGCGGAGCGCGAGTACAATGAAAATTTATTTGATTCGCCTGCTCACCACCCACTGGCCACTTGTGGGTTGAATCCACCCCCTCTCCACACACGTATGTCTGCTGCTGAGCCCGGGTTTATCATTCCGATCACGTAACTTGTGTGTGCCACCAGCACTTTTTCATTTTCATTCACTTAGGCCGCGCAGGCAGAGACGAAGATGGAGACGGAGGCGGTGCACGCTCTAGAAACTTATAGAGTCTCTGGCCCTATAATGAAATGATTTCTCTTGACGCTTCGTCGATTTGCGTGGGTTGTGATTTCTTGCTCTGGTTGCTCTTGCTCGCCTCCAGCTTGAACCTGAAGCTTGGAGCCCTCGGAGCTTCTTGGCTTTTGCTTTCGTTTCCTCAGTCGTTGCGCATCATTAACCCACTGGCGACCAGCAACCGACAGCTGACATTGAACTCACACTCACGCTGCTGCTGACGTCGCTGGGTGAGTGCCAAGGAATTCGAAAAGTTGTAATTCAATTAAAGTTTAATTGGTCAGCGGGCAAGTGGCGTAACTTGGGCACTGAATATTTTATTGCAATTTAAAAATCAAATTCCTCGCACATTTCCAAAAAAGGAAACTCAGCGGAAGTTGGAATAAGAAACATCAATCTTTGGGGTTTTAATTAAATGTTATAAACATGAATAAAATTTATTCAGGTTGATGTAGTACCTAAAATATTTAATATATTGAAATTAGAGATGTTTGTTGAATAGAAAATTTCGAAATTTCGACCTGAAACATCACTTAATATCTGACATATTTATTTATTATTATTTATCAGTTTAATCGATTAAATTGAATTGATAATAAATCGAATTAATTGTTGATATATCGACAAGAAAATAGATTTATCATAAGATATCGAAACAGCATGGATATATATACATGTTTTATCTTCTCTAGTTATTTTTAAACAAACTGGGAAATATCACAGATTTAAAAATAAACTTTGAACAAATCAAAAACTTTAAAAATACATTTTGTAAAAATTTAAAATTATAAATATTATAAAATTTTTAAGATCCTTAAACTTCAACATTTCCCAGAGCGATTTTTGCATTTAAACATTAACTCCCTATTCAAAATAGTTACAAGTTCATCTTAAGCAGCTTATTATTTTTCACCTTGCCTCTTGTTAAATTAATAACTTATTGAGTTTACTTTTTAGCAGTTTATAGCCAACCTTTTATCGAAATTAAGCTTGTTCGTTATAAAGTTTTATGTTTGGCATTTCTCTTGATTAAGTTGGCAGAACATTATTAATTTGCAGCCAGGAGATTAGCAATCCGAGCATAAGTTTTTCGCAGGAGAGGCGAGACCTGCAGTCAGTTTTTTTGAGGGAAACACGCAACGCGGAAAATGGGTATAAATGTGGCAGTGGCAGAAGAGGTTTGGCTCAAAGAGAGAGAGAGAGAGCTGGCTGTCGACAGCACAGTTTGCACCTGCCGCTGCTTCGACCTCAGCCGCCGCCTTTGTTACCTGTGCCACATGCCACACGCAATCTAATTTAGCTGGCAAAATACGTGCTAAGCGTGGAAATAGTAAAATGCTAAAATGGAAACACGGCAGAAGCGCCAAATGGGGCCAGGTCAGGCCACGCCCCGAGCGCGAGTTGTTTTCGCCTTCGACTAGCCATGGCCCAAAGGGGTTATTATACGCAGCGCACTTATAATTCCGCCTAATGTCCCAAAGCTTAAGCTGTCCTCTAATCGGATAAGGGAGGGAGGACTTTAATGATTCCCCTATTTGATGGAAAAACCCGTGTCATCGTCACAATTTCCATGCCACGAAGGGGGTGCAGCAACGGGGAAAAGCAAGCTCAAAGCAATTATTTCGAGGGCCGTGGCTCCCATAGCCGGGATTTATGCTCGTTATTCCGTCAGCCCGGTGTGTGTATGGCCGAGCATTCTTTGACTATGCGGCGTTCCTTGCATCTTCGAGCTGAATTCTCCATCTGAATTATTCATGCCTTTTGTCGCTTGTTGTTGCCCGTGCATTGCGAGACGCCGGAGCCCGGGCTCAAGGGTTGCAGCGCAACGCAACGCAGCATCCTTGAGGGTTGGCCGGGCAACAGGCGCCCGCCCGCTTGCAACCCCCTTTGGCCGGGAGCGCTTTCCCCTCTATGGCTTTGTGCATTTGCCAGTTTCACATGCACTGGGGGAAAATACCTAGGTTAAAGACTAACTAAAGTTGTTTTTAAATATTTAATTAATTAATTATGGAGAGAGTAGAGCTGTAGATTCTAAATATTCGTGTTATTTCTGTCCTAGAGACTGATCATACTATCAAAAGAAAAGTTTGTCTAGTTCTTAAACATTATTTAGGCTTGTAAAACTGTAGTTTCTTTACAATTTAATCCTAGTTCAAGGTCTTTATTTTTCCCTGTGTGACATCTCTGGAATCCGTCTGACATTCAAGGCTTCCCCTATCCCCTTGTAGCTGTTGCTCGCTGGCAAAACCGAAAGCAATTTCTGCAGCATTAATCATGCCCCCAGCCGCCGCCCCTTGGAGCGACTGACTGACTCGCTTATCTGCCCGCCTGGCTCGTCCGGCCATTTCGGGTTAATGTTGACAAAACGCATTTTAAGCACTTCAGCATTCAGCCAGCTTTTATTTTCTTTTGTTTAGAGCCAACAGCCGACCACACACTACACACACACAGGCCACATGTGCGTCTGTTTGATTCTGATTTGAAATTTGCATTGGAAATGTGTGCGCAGACTATATCCTATCGCATCCTGGCCAACAGGCTGGAAACCTTTTCCCAGCCGGAGTGCAAGTGGCCAGCACTAGCTTTTGTATACTGGTCACTTCACAGTCATTGTGTTTGTTTGCTCCTCCCGTCTCCCGCCTCCCTGAATCCATCCTGGTATCCTGGCATCGCAGCCCCCACAGGCAAATAGCTTCTGTTTTGCCTGCGTGTGTGCCTAACCTTTTGAAAAGGTTCTAGTTTATGGCCCAGAACGAGGGCATATAATCGAAATCCGGGGGGAATTGGGTGAGGAAGGGATGTGGCTCTGACTAGATTTCGAAAATTAAAGGTCTCGAAGGGTGCCGAGAGAAATCTATTGTTTACAGGCCTTTCCAATTAAAATTGATCTAATTTGTTGAGACAACAGCCCGGCAGATAAAATAATGGTTAAGAAAAGGTAGCTTTATTGCTTTCTGCAGGGATTAATTCAAATGAAATCAAATCCTGTAGGTATCTTTTTAATTATACAACTTTTAACTATAGACCGAAAACTAGTTCTAAAATTTGAAAGTGCTGCCGAAATTGAAATTCCCAAACTTCCCAATCGAATTACGCGGCCAAAATCAGCCACTAATTGCACAAATTATTTCGAGTAATTTACTAATTTGTACTCTCCGCCGACGGAGAGATAGTTCTCGTTGGCAGCCATTCATTTTCGGCCAGGCCAATTAATATTCATTTGAGCCAAACTCACCCGCTCTACACTTTCCAGCTGGATAGAGGAAATCCTTTATTTAGCGAGCAACTTTCCGCGCTTGTTTTTCCTCTTTCGTTTCGTGCTTTTTTCCAACTTTAGTTTTTGGTTTTTCGGGGGGGGGTTTTATTATTCCCCAGTTTGTCGCTGTTGACGTTGTTTCTCCAGCTGCAAATGCACGACAAATTAACACAGAAAGAGACTGGGGCGGGGCGGGGACCACCGAAAAGAGAGGGTTTTGGAACAAAGGAGCCAACGAAAACTGAAATGCTGTTTTGCCGTGTCCTTCCATAAAAAAAAAAAAAAAGAAAACATAAAATAAAATGGGGAAAAGCCACGCCCGCGGCTTGGCCGCAAAAAAATATTGAAAAGTGTGGAAAGGCGGAAAACTAAAACTCTGTCACTTGGCTGCTGTGTGAGATTTGTTTTAAAACAGAGAGAAAAAACAACTGTGGTCGCCAGAGTTTATTTAAGCTATATAGCGCTTAAACCACACTGGAAAAAATAAACTAATCTAATGCCAATATTAATATATTCAAGGGAGAATTAATACTAAGTTATTTTTAATAATAATAATTTCAAAGACCGCATATATTGAGTATGTATTGGAGCAAGGAAACCATATTTTAAAGAAAAAGCTTCCAAGTCTAAATTTATTTTTTAATAATTTAATTTATTTTATAGCTGTAAAAACTTTTTAAAATTAAATTTGTATGTTTATTTATGTTATTTAGTTGTTTTTAAACTTTTCAATTAAATTTTTAAATATTTGTATACTTATTTTAAAAGAAGTTTTCATCTTATTTTCCTTATAAGGTTCAATACTCTTTTAATTCAATTACTTTTTTAGTGAAAAGTATACAAAATTGTCTTAAAACATATCGTAAAATAACAATTTTCTGCTTTTATTTTTAATTTAATAATTGTCTTCTATAAAATCCACTTCTATTATGGTATTGTTGATTTTTCCAAAACTCTTTTTTAATTCAAAAGTATTTAAATAATGCAAACAGACATTTTCCATTATTATTTTTAAAATATTTTTATAACGCATTCTTTTTTAATTATTCATTTCATTTTATTAATTTATTTGTACAAATATTATTTTTTTTTTTTTTTGTGCACCCCCTTACCTTTTCTATTATGTGAGGCTGAACGCACAGCGGGCCATGTTTTTATTGGATTTTCCTCTTATTTTCCTTTTGCTATTGTCGTGGGATTTTCGCACCGCACAAAAACACTGAACTAACACTTGTGTTAAATATGTATTTTATCGCTTTTTTGCCAGCTTTCTTTGCGTTTTCTCACTGAGCAGCCAAACTTTTGTTTTTTATTTCGTATTTTATGGGCCTATGGTTTTCAACCCCCGACTTCACTTCACTTCGGAGCACTGGACTACGCCGCACTGCACTGCACTATGCTACACTACCACACTACACTGTGCTACAAGCCTGCGTCGCTGGGCCGTTATTCGAGCTGCCGTTTACCGTTAGTCGCTACCGCACTCGCGCGAGTCTTTCGTCAAACTGGCGAAAAAAAAAACATACACACCACGCACACACGCAGAAAATTTACAAACGCGCAATTGAACTTTGCTAGTTTTTACAGCAAGGTGAGCCGAGCTTTTCAGCCCACTCTCTCTCTCTTGGTTGGCTCTCTCTCAAGAGATTCCCCCCTCCCTGCCTCCCCGGGTGGCAACCACTCTCTTACCACTTTTGGCAAAACAGCCGGCGCAACGCAACGCCAACGCAACAGCGCCGCCGGCCGAGAGCTTCCAACCCAAAAATGGCAAAAAACAATGAGTCGGCGGCCATGGCCAACCCCCTTGGGCGTTCGTCTCTCGAGCTCTCTCGCGGCGCCCCTGCGCATGCCCGTAAGCTGAGCTTCAAAGCTCTGACTGTTATGGGGGTGGATCGACGGGGGTTGGGTGGTGGTTAATGGTGAACTCAAGTACAGTGGGCACTCGTTAAAATGAAGCAATTGTAGATCAATAAAACCTTTTTAAAAGCAAAGGTTTTGAAACCTCAGTTAAACTGAACTATCTTTTTTTATTATTTATTTATTTATTAGTAAAAAACATGTCCAAATACCTCTTAGTCGTGGAAATATGTTTATAAAATTATTTGTTTCGGTTATGATTCTCAATATCTTAAACTTGTGGTTTTAGTTTAAAATAAGTCAAAAATTTTGCTTAGTTTTTAAATAGATTAGAATTCACTGTAGATTTTACGGTTTGTTCTAAAAAATGTCCTATAACTTAGGTGACTCTTTTCGTTGGGGATCTTACTTTAGTGATCCAATTCCTAAATATACTATATAAGGTAATATAATAGAAAACTATTTATTAATATTAATGCTTTAAATATTTTAAACATTTCTTTAACAATTTATTTATATCAAAATATAAAGTCAATACAACAACAAATCAAAAGACCTTCCACAAACTTTCCTCATTTAATAATTTATAGATTAATCTAATGAATCTTTATGAAATAATAATTTGTAAATAACTTTTTTACTAAATTAAAAATTATCTAAAAAAGCTTTTTAATTTAAAATATCCTCTCATTTGAGCCTCCACTGTCGAGTAATATGGTTTTTTAAGAGCAGGGTGGGCCTCGCCTGTCTGCTGACTGCTGGCATCGAGTGGGTTGTTTCCATGCGATGTCGCATTGCTTCTGTTCTGGCGCTGTTGTTTTTGTTGCTCTAGTTGTTGTTGCTGTTGAATGTGCACTTTGTTGAATGTGCAATGTGCGCTTCCTCTAGCCGCTGTTATTGTTGCCACGACTGCCACTGCAAATTGCCTTGCAGCATTTAAGTCGAATTATGAAAGTCTGTGTATGTGGCGGGGGGAGTGCAGCATTTTACCCTCGCCCCAAAAATATATAAAAATCCCACAATTTACCCTCGATTCGCCAGAAACTTGGGGAAAAGGTGCTCGAGGGACCAGGAATACGGCTGCATTTTAATTAATATTGATTGTGAGTTATTTCCAGTGGGGGGGCACTGCGGCAGCAACAGCAGCAGCAGCAGGTGTGGTTTTAATTTAGTTTTCAAAATGTGTTTGCGAGGGAGAGAGCAAACAAACACATTTGCGGGGAAGCCCCATAACCCACTTACACTGGCCTGTGTGTGCGGATAAATGTTTGCCTATTACAGGGTACACAAAGTCAGCATCCTTGCGACGAGACGAGACTCGGCGCGATGCGATGCGATGCAATGCGATGCGATATCATGCAAATTGAAGGGGGTTTGCCAAATTTGCATTTCAATTCAACAGTCGCCGGCGCACTCATCCCTTTTACACGCCGCCCCCGCCTTGTCCGCCCCCTTGCTTTCTGTTTACCTTGCTCGAACAGCTACGCTTTATTTTTTCAGCTCTGCTTTAAGTGTGATTCAGTGTTGCGCTCGACAGCGCGGCAAAATGTGCACGTGCTGCAACGGCCGCAAGGCATATTCTCCCTTTTCTCCCGCGGCGAAAGCGGCTGTCCAGGTGGTGGAAGGTCCTGCGCCCCCAACTGGGTTGTGTCCAAAAGGAATTGGTCTCGGGGCTTCAGCTAAAGTGTAATATTATTAAGGCCCCTTTTTCAGACATTCATTGTCATATGGCTACAATGACACAAAGCCAGGATTACACTGCTTAAGCTTAAACCCTTTTTTACGCAATAAAGAAAATAAAAACATTTTACATAAAGGTATGTTTTTGAATCCATTCGAAGGTTTAATGAAAACATAAGTTAAAAGGACATTTTCATGCATATCAAATACATATTAAAATTTGTGTAATTTTCCCTCTACTTCTAGCTGATAATTTTATAAATCATCTATATCCTGATAGACCTTTTAGAAAACTGCACCTAGTCCTCGCATAATTTACGCTGAATGCGAGGATGCTCAGCCCCGTCAGAATACTTTTCATAGCTTGGATTCTCCTCCTGGCTCTGCACATTCTGCTTTACACAAGCCAGTCCCTTTACATATGGGTTGATATTTGTCACTTGCATATTTTGTTGGTCCTCGAACTCGGCAAACATATCGTGATTGGGCTTCATGAATGGGTAGGCGCTAAAGTGCAGCGGATCGACGGCAGTCATTGCCTTTTGGACACTAATGTAAACGGTGCGGCCACGCATGCGGTGGCTTAGGGAAATGTATGGAAAGCTCAGGGTCAGGACGAATTGATGCTTGAGTTCTGAGGACTGGCAAGTGGCCCAGAAGAAGATTTGTCCTTTCTCCATCAAGGCTGCATACTCGTGGACCTCTTCGGGCAGTAGAACTTCCAGCTGCAAGGAAGTTTGGGTCTGATAGTAACCGGTCGTCAGTCGGATCACGTTTGGAGGAAGTTGAACCTGCATCTGCTGGCAAAGATTCTTACAAGCTGGTGCTGGTGCATCCTTCATTGCCTTTGGCTTTTTCTGCTTCTTTGGTTTGTCAGGAGTTTTTACTGCCCCACCAATCATCACATTATTTAGAAATGTGGCGGTAGAGGATGAAACTGGGACTGGATTCTGCTCAGACTCCTGCTGTTGCTGCACAGAACATCTTATAAAGCATTCGTACAGTTGGGCTATGATGTCTGTTTCGGAGGGTAGCTCAGGAGGATCTTGGGACATGGGGGATGCTATATGCTGCTCCTGTTTCTTCTCCAGCTGGTTCTCCTTGGTCTGGATTAAAGCTGCTGTAGAAGCCTTATTGGGCGACACATTCTCCTTTCGGTCCTCCTCCTGTTCCATCTGCAGTTCGTCTTCAAGCTGCAATTCTTTCTGAAATTCTTCCTCCCTAATTTCCCGCTTGCCATGTTCTACTCCTGCCATGAAGAAGGCCAGTATCTTGTTCTCCGCCTCATCACATCTCTTGATCAATTTGTCAGCCATTAGTGTATGGGTAAGGCTTAGGTTGCGCACGTGCATCTTCAGGCTGGAGGCATATGTCATGGCCACCAGATTCCGAACGAACAAGGTGTTTGCGGTGGCGAACTGAATGTGGGCCTGCAGGAAGTTATTCTTGGGCAAGTGCTTCAACCTAGTCTCGAAGTCGCGGCGATCTTTCTCCGACCAGTCGCCTTCCTCGGAGTAGGGCACGAAACCCAGCAGACGCATGTCTATTGCCATGGGCGGCAACTCCTGAAGGTCCGCCGGGCACTTGTACAGTTTGCCGCTCTTGGTGGTAAAGATGCGAGTGTCCGTGTCGATGGCTTGCACCAGCACTAGCAGATCTTTCTTCACCAGATTCGCGTTCTTAATGGGGGGCACCTGGAGCACCCGGATTCGTTCGTTGATGACACTGTGGTGCATGCAGATGACCCCGGGAACTGGAGGCCAAAAACGGAGCGGCTTGGTGCTCTGGAGCGACTGGATGCGCATCTGCTGAACCGCCAGGTTGGGCAACGGTTGCCAGGAGCCCTGTGGCGGTAGGTGCTCCTCTAGATAAACACAAAAATGCGTCGGCGAATAGACCCTCACCAACTTCACCTTCACGTCTCCTGATACGGGAACAGATGCATGACATTGGTCCAAATCTGTCACCTGGTGACGTTCGTCGCATGCAGGATCGATGCAGCTGCCCTTCACCATGATCTGGCGGCACAAAGCGTTCTGATTGCCTTTCTCCTTCTGCATCTCCTGCCGTATCTTCGCAACCAGCTCCACCAGGCCGGCATCCACTTTCTGGTGCTGCCGCAGGAAATCCACGAGACGCGGCAGTTGCCTTTGATTTTCGTGGTCCAGCAGCACCAGAGAATGCAGTGGCACATCCTCCGATTCGGGCTGTGCCGGAGCCAGTCTGTTTTTTAGATTCCCGGATATGACGAGGTGTCGCATCTTGAACTTGCCCCAGGTGCTGCTCATGCCGTAGTGGATCAGCGTGTGCGCATGCCGGATGATCAGCTCCGGGCAGTCGTCCGTGCACAACAGGATGACGTCCCGACTCTCACCCATCCAGCGATGCACCTGCTCGCGCACCTCCAGGTCTGCGTTCTGGTAGTAGGGCAGACAGGCGTGACTGCGTTTCTCCAGAGCCACCACCAGGCGACGCATGTCTAGGTCGTCGGTGCAGTAAACCACCGTGCGGTATTTCTTGGGCGGACGCTGCTGCAGTGCCTGGAACACCTCGTTAACCTTGCTCTCCGAATTACAGAAGGCGATTCTGATGCGCGTTCCGCCGTACACAGCTGCCTCCAGAATGTCGCCGAATATGAGCGCCGGGTGGCTGTTCGCCGCCGTCAGCTTGGCCATTATCCGGTGATTGTACGACCGCGAGACCATCACCAGCTGCGGATAGTGCCCCCGGGGAATTATCTCTTGTAAAACCTGTTCCGCCTTCTGCACCTGGTCGGGCGGCATCAGGTCTACATCGTCGAAAGCCACGATTTGGAGCCGAGGAAAGCGGAGCAGACCCGGCGCCTCCTCCTGTATCCCCACTAACTGGGCGGGCGTGACCACCAGGCATCCAACGCCGTTTAGCAGGCGATGGATAAGCTCCACCTTCTTTAAAGCGTCTACGGTCAGGGTGAGGGTGAACAACTCCTCGTTAGCCGCCTTCCGTAGGAGGGCGTGGCAGAGAGCGCTCACTTGGCGCACACGCTCCACATTCGGCACCAAGATCACGGCCAGCGCACCCTCCCGGTCCGGATACCAATTTGCACAGCCGCGCAGGCGCGTGCCTTCCGTTAGGGCGCGACACACTAGGTCGCAGAGCGGCGGAATGTAGCCGAAAGTGCGACCGCTACGCGGAGCACTAACAATCAGAACTCCGTGTCCATTCCCGGCGAGCAAGTGGGGCCACGAGTAGCTTTGGAGGCGCAGCAGGCGCGACAAGCCCAGTTTCTGCATCGTTTCCAGGATGTGCGGCAGCAGGGACACCTCGGAGAAATATCGAACTTGACGCAGGGCAATCTTTGCATGCGCCACCACTAATTCCGAGCAGTTGGGGGCCACTAGGGGGCGAATGGGGTCTGCGCGGATAATGCCGCCCACTTCGTAGTCTTCTTCCATGATTATCTTATCAATCTTCTCTGCAATACAAGCCCAATCATATGTATTTCCCATTTTACGGCAGAAAAGCTGCAGTTCGCTTAAATTTGAATCGAAAAAGGGCCCTAGCACACGACGATTACCGAAAAGCTTCCGTTTTGAAAAGTTTATCGATTTTCGATGTGTTTGCGCAGCGACCAGCGTTGCCAGATCGCCACAAAAAAGATTAACTCGATACTATCAAAGTTCTTGAACAATCGTTGTCGCCAATCGATAGCCAACTATCGCACTCGTCTGCCATCCCTAACGGCACGCACTACAATTTTTTCGTACTTGTTTGGTTAATTTTTTTAAGGCAGGTAAATTAATTAGGATCAAATCAGGATGGGCAAACGGCGGACACAATCCCTGCTTGACTCGAACTCCAGCGACAGCGACTCGGAGTCGGACACCAATCTGGAATCGGTAAGTGGCTTGAAAACCTGGCCCGCGCCCCCTTTGTCATAGCAGCAGCCATTTGCGATGTAACGAAAATCAATGGCCCAGCTGTATGTTTGCTTCTTTTCGACTTATTCTTCTTTCTAATCCCCAGGACCTCATGTCGCTGGCCAAGAAGCGGAAGAAGCCACAGGCCACGGCCAAGGCGAGCTCGCGCTCCGACTCAGACTCCGACTGGGCCAACAACAAGGCTGGCGCTCCGTCATCCAAGAAGAAGAAGCGCCAGAAGAAGGCTAGTCGAGACTCTAGCTCTTCGGAGTCCAACTGGGACGATGACAGCCAGGATGAGGAAGAGCAGCGGCCGCAGCCGCAACAGCAACAGCAGAATCCACCTGCTCAGGCCGAGGTGAAGGCGCCCGTGGAGCAACCGCAGGCGGCACAGCTTAGCGAACAGGAGGAGGGCGAGGTGTCCGACAGCGATTCCGACAAGTCTAAATCCAATTCCTCCTCCTCCGGCTCCGACTCGTCCAGCTCCTCGTCCTCCAGCTCAGATTCCGAGTTCGACGATGGCTTCGATGACGACCTCATGGGCGACGAGGAGGACCGGAAGCGACTCAACGGCCTGTCAGAAAAGGAGCGCGAAACAGAGATCTACAAGCGCATTGAGCAGCGCGAGATCATGCGCACTCGGTGGGAAATCGAACGCAAGCTAAAGCTAGCCAGGCGGGGCGAGAAAAACCAGGAGAAGTCCAAGACAAAGGGCGAGCGGGCCAAGAAGAAGAAGGAGAAGCGCGAGAAAAAGGCGAAGAAGGCCAGAGAAGCGCAGCCTCCCTCACAGCCTCAGGCCTCCACATCTGCGCTGTCAGAGGCAGAACCCAAGACTAGCGTCGAGGTGAGGTCCGCGAGTCCGCTATCCTCGCCAACCCACAACCGAGAGATGGCATCCACCTCGGCGGCAGTGGCTAGCATTCTGCAAGAGGATCAGGGAGCTGCTGCCGGAGTGGCCGATTACTTTGATCACAAGGAGCGGTCCAAGGAGCGAAAGAAGAACGTTGAAGCCAACAAGACGGACGATAAGAGGAGCAATGCCATGGCCTTGCTGAAGGCCAAGCGTGAGGGCAAAGCCAAGAGGGGTAAGTTGTGATGTAAGGATAGAAAGAATACTTTTATTTACTTGTTCACCTCCTTACAGAGGAAGAGGAAGCCAAGCGTATGGCTGAAAGGGATCGGGATGAGGACAAGGAGGAGCTGGAAAGCGTCTCTGGCTGCAAATCAGCCGTTAAGCTGAAAGCCTCTGAGATCTACTCCGACGACTCGGGCAGCAGTGATTGGGATGAGGAGGAGAAGCCCACCGGTAAACGGTCAAGATCCAACAGTAGCAAAGCCTCGAGCGAATCTGAGGATGACGAGAAGGCCCCCAAGAGTCCCGTGTTTATAACCACCCGCGAGGATCTGAACAAGCTGCGCCTTTCGCGCTACAAAATGGAGCGTTTTGTGAACTTGCCCATCTTCGAGAGCACCGTGCTCAACTGCTTTGTGCGGATCAGCATTGGGAACAATGGCCAGAAGCCTGTGTACCGCGTGGCCGAAATTGTGGGCGTCGTGGAGACGGGTAAGATCTACAGCCTGGGGACCACACGCACCAATCGCGGACTGCGACTCAAGCATGGAACACAGGAGAGGGTGTTTCGACTGGAATTCATCTCGAACCAGGAGTTCACCGAGAACGAGTTTAACAAGTGGCACGAGGTGTGCCAGCAGTCGCATGTCCAAATGCCCACCATCGACCTCATTGCGATCAAGCAGGCGGACATCAAGAAAGCGCTGAACTACGAGTTCAAGGACGAGGACGTGGACAAGATTGTGGAGGAAAAGAATCGCTTCCGCAACCGGCCCACGAATTACGCTATGAAGAAGACGTGCCTGATGAAGGAGCGCGATGCGGCCATGCTAAGAGGTGACTACGATATTGCCCAGGATCTGGGCACGCAGATCGATGAGCTGGAGAGCCGGGCCTCCGAGTTGGACAAGCGGAGATCGCATACGCTGAACCTCATCTCCTACATCAACGATCGCAACCGAAAAAAGAACGTGCAGGATGCCGAGAAAGCGATTATGGAGGAGGCGCGGGCCAACAAGGGCCAGAAGATTTCGGACCCCTTCACGCGACGAATCACTCAGCCACGCATGGGCTTCAAGGGTACCAAGAAGGACGACGAGGACATGCTGCAGGCGCCGCTGCCACCGCCACCGCCGGGAAAAAAGCGGCCCAGCGAGGCAGGCCCGTCGAGTGCCAATGCCAGGCCGACAGACTCCAAGGACTACAGCCTTTACTCACTGCATGACTTTGACATCGACTTGGATGTGCCGCTGCCGGGTAAGTCCTTGGCTTGCCTCTATTACTTATTAACAAACTAATTTGTATTTTTTCCTCTCGCAGTAAGTACGAATGCAGTGCCAAAGCCGGCCAATAAACCAGCGGAGACCGTCTCGAAGCGGTCCCTGAACCTGGAGGACTACAAGAAGAAGCGCGGCCTTATCTAGGAACTGCACTACACATACTGACAACGCCTCACACGTTTGTGTCCTAGTTGAGTGTAGTGCCTACAATTGACCACAGCGAACATTTGTTAATGCAACGACCATTATCCCAAACCAAGCGATGGGCGGCAGATCCACTTTGCGTTTTAGTTACAGTTTAAATATGTGCGTATCCCGATCGGGGATACACTTCCTGTTTGTGTTTGTACGGTAAGAATCACTTAACTTAGCGAAAATTCACAAGGCCAGCAGCACAGCGCAATGCAGACAGACAAACGAACAGCAGTTAGAATTCCTATGCAAATAGGGAACTCATTACATAATAAAATTAGATTGATAATGTTCTATTGTAATTTTAATAGCGGTTAAGTTCAAAAGTTGTATTACAGCCCAGCCCGATTATATATATATATATTCAAGCCGATGTTTAATAAATTAAAAACTAACATAATTTATACAGGACTAGCTAACACAGCGAAAACTCAATTGTTTACTCAGGCAGGAGATTCCAAGGACAATTATACATAAAACAGGCTGATTAATCGGGATGCGAGATATGTATCCGTTGGTTGTAACCGTTCAATGCTGTATTAACTTTAGGCAAGGTTCATGTAGCAACAGCATTCACATACTTAAATATACACATATACATAAATAATTATTATTTATAATAAAGAAAGCAACCAGCCGTTGTCGGTGGAGTTAAATATAGAAATAATCAATTCAAAAACGAAAGGGTTGTATTATTTAAAGGGATGGGAGGGATAGGGGTTACTGTATGATCCAGTTCTCCTTTGAAAATATGGTATATATTTTGTTTGCCCGGTTGGCGCCTTCTCCGTCTCTACACTTAAATTGAAATGTAAACTCTTGGGTTGGTTTCGCTTGGGTTAGGTTAAGTCTGCGCCAGTTGGTCATTTTTAATTGGTTTGCTGGATGTTTGTGCAGCTGGCTGACTGACTGACTCCTTTCCTTTCATGTTCACACAAAATTAATTCAATTAATTCGACGAAATTGTCTTTTAATTGAAAACGATCGCGTTTCGTCAGAAAGCAAACCACACATTTTCGAAAGATCTGCAGATATAGGAACTTTTAACGGTCAAGACATATATCTAGAATCTCTGATGGGAAACAAGCAGGCAAGTTATTTGTTAATATTCAAGTTATGAAGCCATCTTGCTGCCCAACAATGAGAATATATAGGAGACTCATTTGAAATAAACTTGAATTGATTGTTCTATAATGCACTTCCGCTTGAATATTTTGAAAGTTTTGTTTCCTTTCCCCCGGTTCCTTCCTTATGGGAACCGAATCTCGGAGCCCCGAACCTACATATTGTTACCGAAATGGACTGATCCGATCACAATGATGATGACTACGCGGATGGGGGGCACACACACACACAGTTCCCATTGATGGCACAATGACATTTTATCTCGGAATATGCAACAGCAGCACGTTCTCTGAAGCGGAGAGTGTAATAGATCAGCGGCGGAATCTCGATTCTGAATCCGAAACCTACCGATGCGTGGCCCATGCAAATGTTCTTGCAGTCGGCATCGGTGTGGGTGCATTGCATCCGACAAATACTTATATTTCTCACTGTGCACTGAGAACTTTATTAACATTAAAAACTACAGATAATATTTTAAAATATATTTTTTAGCTCTTAATAATAATTAAGAGACCATAAAAAGGTCACAGAAGGCTTACTTTATAGAAAGGTAAAAAATCAACAACAAATAATAAATTAAAAAGTAAGTTTACAAAGTATCTAAACATTTTTGTATTGGCTTTGGCTTTTATTCTTTTAAAATACTTAAAATTATGCCTCAAAAAAACAAGTGCCATACTTTTTAAGGAATGAATATGCTTCGCTTATCCAATAATTAATTAATCAATTAATTAATAATTAAATTTATTTAATTTTCCTATTAGCTACTTAAGGAATTTTTTCCTAGTGTGGGAGAATCCCCTTGGCGGCGACTAATCAACCGGCTTGCCATATACACAAGTGCTGGCTGGGCCGCTGTCGTCCGGCGGCGGCTTCTTCATCGTCACCCCCGGACTTGGGCATCTTTCACTGGGTCTGCGACGCTGAGCTCCACTGTACGGGTGTATGGGTGAGTATTATTTTCTTTGAATGGTGCATGTGTGGCTTAGGGGACAGCAGCTCAAGCGATCAGTTCAAAGTTGACTTCGCTGCGGACCAGACCGGACCGCTCTAATTCGGACACGCGACGACCGTGAATTATAGAATTCTCACTTAAATCACAGTTTAATTTAATTTAAAAAATATATATAAATAGCCCGCTTAAATAATAATAGTATAAAATGTTAGCCAGCAAGTGCTCTGTGTTGTGGTGTTTATTTGTGGGCCTGATCCTTGGAGGCGTTCAGGCCGCCTTGGATTTTAACAATGATCTCGACAATAGCCAAAAGTTCAAGAGCATACCGACCACAGTGAAAACCTACGAAAATGACACGGTCCAGCTGCCATGCACCTTAAATAGTAAGTTGGTTTTTACAAAGTATTTTTATAGTTACAATATCAGTGCGGTGCATTTTGGTGAGGATATCTGAGGGGGCCTTGAAACGGCCACCAGCAGCAGCAATTGGCCATAACAATGGGATTTAATTCGATTGAAGAAATGAGCACACAATGGGACAAATGAAGGTATTATCCGACAATAATAGAGCAGCACTGAGGAGCGAGTCCAGAAACGGTTTCTATTAATTGAATGCTTAACACACTTGGCAGCACATTGAAGTCATCTTGGAAGAACCCTCCCCCAAAAACGTATTGTTAAGTGGTCATTAAAGGATTATTGACAGTAGCAATGAAGTTTTGAAGGAGGTAAATAAGATTACAGAACCGGTTACAAGCACAACTCATAAGGGCAATTTATAGTGAGAATTGTAAATAATAAATGTCACCCTAATTTTATTTGATTTTCGGATTTAAACACCAAAAATAATACACAATATGAGATCATACATCTTTATTGTAATGACACATTCCAAAATTAGTCTGTTTTAAACAAATTATCGACCACAAATCAATTTTTCTGTTGTCTTCAATATTCTATTTGCTTTAGTAATAAAACCAAAAGCAAATTGTAGATCCTCTTTACAGTCCTTGCAAACTGGAGGCTTCTTCTTGCTGACTGTGCAGGCCTGTGAAAAAAGGTTTATTAACTATTGTATGAGAAAACAGTAGAAGTGATCTTTTGGTTTACATTTGAATATAAAACTAAAAATTATTTTGTTGCCTCAGCTTACCATGCGCCTGTACTTATCCTTCTTTATGTCAGGGAGACTTTTCCAGGTGCGGACTGCTTTTCTGATTAAGTCTGCGCACCTTAACCCACGGTGCGTTTTACAAAAGTCACGCAAAAAGTTTAGATACCCGTCATTGGTAACCGGATCCGGCCTGCTACACTTTATCGGTGTTTTGTGTCCTCTTACACTTTTCACGATCTTGGCTTGTACGGCTTATGGCCTGTTCATATATATCTTTAATATTTTAGAATGTTTTAATAAATTCTAAAAGGTCTTCCTGCAGTTTTTTTATGGTTACACTTACCATCCTAATAAATTTACACGTCTACAAATTTGTTGTAAAAGTTAAACTGTGGAAAATATAGTAAAATTTCAAGAAAATTTGGTTAGGTGAACTGTTTTTGGAGAGACACTGAAATATAATAAATGTTGGCTGTCATATAGTAGCTCCCTGAAAAACCAGAGTCCAGAGCCTACTTACAAAATAATAATGATAGATTTGCAAAATATAAAGTTGCAACTTTATTATCTAAAATCTCCCATAATTCCCATCATTTTCAGATGGAATTATATATATTTTTCCCCGATTTGTAATTTCAATTGCTTGTAGACTTTCCACCAATTTAGTAACTCTTTCTATTTCACACCCAGCACCCTTTCGATATGTCCGCTGGCATCGTGACGATGTTGCCCTGGTGGACTCCAGGCACCCGGAGATCCCTAAGCTGGATCGCATAATGCTTTGGCCCAACGGAAGCTTGCAGGTGTCGAATGTGCAATCCAGCGACACCGGCGACTATTACTGCGAAATGAACTCGGACTCCGGGCATGTGGTGCAGCAGCATGCCATCGAGGTGCAGCTGGCTCCACGGGTATTAATAGAACCCTCAGAGCTTACGGAACAGCGGATTGGAGCCACCATTGAGGTGGTGTGTGAGGCCCAAGGAGTTCCCCAGCCGGTGATTACCTGGCGGTTGAACGGCAAAGACCTGCTTCCGCAAAGCAACTCAGGCAACCGGCAGAGTCTGGTGTTGGACATCAAGTCAAGGAATCAGGCGGGACTGATCGAGTGCCTGGCCAACAATGGAGTGGGTGAGGTGGCGGTGGCCAGTGTTTATCTACATGTGTTGTGTGAGTATCCCAAAAGATTATAATTAAATTTTTAATAGGAGTTTAGATAACTTAAACTGTTCTCTCTCCAAACAGTTGCCCCCGAGGTAAGTCAGCCCCAGCCGGTGGTGTACACCAAATTGGGCGCTCGTGCCCATCTTGAGTGCATCGTAGAGGCGGCTCCGGCAGCTACAGTCAAGTGGTTCCACCATGGACTACCTGTGACCCTGGGAGCCCACTCCACCAGTCACGAGTCGGAGCTGCAGGGGAATCGCTCGCTGGATCACTATGTGAATGCGGTGAGACACCTGCTGGTGGTAAAGAGCGTTCGAAATGCGGATATGGGCCAGTACGAGTGCCGGGCCACCAATCAGATTGCGGGAAAGAGTGGCAACGTAGAGCTGACCGGCCGCCCAATGCCCTGCCTCTTCAAGATCAACCCCGGCATCCAGAGCTCCACATCCCATGTGCTCGTCTGGCAGACGGAGAGCCTGTTGCCCATCATGGAGTTTAAGCTGAAATTCCGTCAGATACCCTCCAACAATGCCACCCGGCAGATACGCACCAACTGGACGGAGCTCACGATTCCGGCTCAGGCTACCAACGGTAAGGAGCAGGTGTTATTTTACTTAGATCTTAAAATAAAAATTTACAAAGTATGCAGAGGAAGTTATGAAGTTTTAGGTAGGTAATTTTTGGTAGGAATTATTTGTTTTTATCATTATTTTTAAAGTCATTTCTAGTAAGAGTTGTTAGGTTTGTAACACTGTAAAGGGCAAACTCTACATCACACCTTTCCGATGTCCACTTTGTTATATGTATCAAGTTCTCTTATATATTATATATAAAAAAAATCCGCAATGCAATAATCACAACTTTTGTCTGAATATCACATAACAGACTTTCCCATAAATTCTTTGGTTTCATCTTTTTTTTAAGAACAAGTAAAGACACCTGGTTTACTTTATTTCCAATTCATTGTTTCCATTAAATTTCATGGAAACTAAATTGAGATTTTGGTTGTTTTGAATAATCGGCAAATTCCTTTGCTTTAAGTTTATTCAAAAACCTTGACCTTGTCTGAACCTCGAAACAAAAGGTTTAGGCAATTTTAAAGGAATTTCTCAACAGAAATGTATGCTCAATTAAATGAATTCAGAACCAAATGGGGTTAAGTTGTAGTAAACAACATATTTTTTAGATAATCTAAGTTGGTTTACTTTACACAATACAAAGAACGTACGAATTATAATTAATCTTCATATTTATAAAAATTATTCTATTTTTTAATTTCATTAATTAATTTCCCTTCTCTTACAGGCCTTATCTACATAACCACTTATACCCTACATGGCCTGCAGCCCGCCAGTCTCTACGAAGTTTCCGTGTTGGCCAGAAATAGTTTTGGTTGGAGTGACAACAGCAAGATCGTTCGATTCGCCACAGGTGGAGAGGGTTAGTTGAGTCAGCTTTCAACATTTATATTTCTATTATATTTTTAATTATCTTGGAATTGTATTCTTCAGTCGAACTACCCAATTATTCCACGGAATCGGAGCTGCAGGAAGACCTAGCCGACGAGGATTTTCACAACGAAATCACCCAGAGATCGGAGATTTTGACAGCCAGCATGATGTTCAACTCAGGTTCCATAAGTTGCAATGGAATCACTGCCTTAATTTACTTTACATGTCTTATAAAACTTGTACTACTCTTAAGTTAGGTTTAAATATTAAATTTAAATGTACTGAACTCGATTCCATGCTATACCAAATAAACAACTTTCCATATATTCGCTTGAAAAGATGCCTTAGGTCATGGGTGAATCATATCTGTTGATTCAGGCGCAAACAGATAAGATTCTTTATAAAAAAAAATAACATTTGTTTACTTTTCTTCTTATTCATTTCTTACAAATTTCCTTTTTGTGAAAAATAAATTTCCTATCAATTCATATCATATATTTTGTATCAAAATATTTTTCAAAGCTTTAAACTTGTTTACTTATCGGTTTTTTTTTTAAATAAAATATCACGCATCACTTTTAATTAATAATTTTAAAATATAACTTCAGTCATAAGTGAATCAGATCGGAACTGAAATCTTTCGATTCCGACGGAAATAGATAAGGGACTGTATCATAGGTAAACATTCTCATAAAGCTTATCTCTAGCATGAATAAGATGGAAAGATCCGGCATACCATATCTACGAGGTATTTTAATCTTATTATTACCTTTATTTTCTTTAAATAATCTACAACAATTTCTTAAACTTTGAGATTAATAAAGCTATTTTTAAAAGTATCTATGAATTTCAATATAAAAAAGGTAATAAATAATAGGATTTAAAATTCCATGCTCCCATTTATCGATTTATTGCATATAACATTCTCTTTGGGATTTAAAGAAAATTGTTAAATTTAATTATTACCTCCTTTATTTTCTTTTTAAAAAATCTACAACAATTTCAATAACTTTGAGATTAAGAAAGCAATTTTTAAATGCTTCTATGAAGTTCAAAATACATGGATAAAGATTATTGTAATAAAATAATCCAACTAAATGGGGTATAAAAATCCAAATTCCAATTTATCGATTTATTTCATATCACAATCTCTTTGGTATTTAAAGAAAATGAATCTTTTAACAACTACAATGTTTCGAAATACATTTTTGGAAATGTTAGTTAAGTCATGAAATTTGATACACCTTTTTCCTGGCTCCGCAAACCTATAGGCCTTGAAAATTTCTAGCAGGGTGTACTTTCGGTATAGGGCTTCCTCCGTGTGGACCGCCAACATCAATTGGCAGTGACATTGCGGGCAGCTAAGGCATCTTTCTGGCCCCAAGCTCCACTCTTGCTCTCAGACTCTCTTTCCCAGCGAGTTGGCTTCGCAGCAGTGCTCTCCTCTCCCGATTGGGGAAACAAATGGAATAGAAACGAAGCAGTTGGGGCTGTGTTTACCTGCGGGCTCCAAAGCACAGTGGTTGGGCTGGAATGGAGACGCGACCAAAAATACTTCTACTTGATATATCCTTACGAAATTAATACCAAAAATCAAGAAAAAACTTTTAAGAATATCCACAAAAAATTGAAAATATAGCACGTCTATATCATATAGCTGCCACAGGAACAATCTGTTAAAAATCAACATTTAGTATGAACAACTTTTTTGGTTTTTCAAAATATCTTAACCAATTTCACAGATTATTTGTTTGGTGTAGGTTTATATATTCTTACCAAATTTGGTTAAAATCGGATATCTATATCTTATAGCCCCCATTCATAACTTTAAGGTTAATTCAGTGCAAAACTGTCAAATTTTCAAACAAATGTTTTGGCGAAACGGCTAAAGTTAGGTTAATGAATTAAATGCCATATAATGACACAACATTTGAACAATTTTTTGTAAGATTTTCTATAAAAAAAAAAAAATTTACAGGTTTATGAGTCATAGCCAATCTCTTGAGTCCCCACAAAAAAAGTTGGTATTCGGTATACTTCCTAACTGTCCACAAAAACATCCGATATAAATAAAATGTATTGCATTCGTTAAAGGATAAGTGCCCCCAGGTACTCACGTGGGGTTTTTATTTTTTCAAAAATTTTCCCGATTTGTTATCAAAATTGGAAATTAAAACCACGATTTTTGACTAACAAGCTAAGTTACTTTGTTTAAAAAAATATAATAAAATGGAAAACTTAAAAAAGCTCGACGTTAGTACCTTTAAAATTAAATTAAAAAGTTATGTTCAAAGTTTCAAACCGATTGGTTAAATAGTTTTTGAGTTATCGTGTACACCGATTTTCAAAATGAAATTTTTCAGGAGAGCGCTTTAAACTTTGTTATATTCATACATCGAACACCATATGACCTCCGTTCAACTACTACAATATTTTAAAGATATTGGATCCTGTTAGATTTCCAAAAAAAAAAGTATGCCACAAAGAAGTTTGGACATTTAAGATACCATTTGTTTACTTTCGTACATTTTTGTTGTAATGCATTTTTTTATTTTTGGCCTATCGTTGTAACCACTGTGCAAAGGCCCCAACGCTGAGGAAGAGAGAGTTGTTGGCTCTCTCAATATCTTTGGGGCCCGTTCCGTTCCGCGGCGCTTTTGGCATCCATCGCAGCACGCGCTGGGCTTGGGCTTTCAGTTCTCGTTCGAAAAGCATTGCGTTCGGTCGCACCGCCCCCAAGGATCCCCAGCGCCCAGAGGTCTGTCTGCATCTCGGAGTCGGAATCCGTGAAACGCCAGGTTTAAAGCAATTAAAGACAGCTGTAAACGCTTTTCGTTTCGACCAACCTGGCTATAATGTGTACAAATCGGTTAAAGTGCGGCGTGCGAGCCAGCGAAAGCGTTGCAGTGCAAGTGCTAAACGCCAATATCGTACAGAATCGGGGAAAAACAAAAGAAAACAAAACCACAACAACTACAAAACAAAAAAAAAGCCTTTTGTAACGCTTTAACCGAATTTTTCGTCTCATCTCGCGTCGGTATCTGGGGACCAAAGCCAGCTAAAAAACCAGTTTCCCTCCTCTAGGCTCTCGGGCAAAATAAATACGAGGCGAAATACTCGTAACAATCTTCAGCGCATCGCATCCATTCTTTAAACTCTGGCCCTGAAGTTTCAAGACTGAAGATTTTGTGATTTTTTTTTTTTTTAAGCATCACCAGAGAAGAGGATGAATCACTAGATAGCCCCACAGTATATAAAATCTACATCCCAGATGTGCTCTATATCTTCACTTTTACTTTATTCGCAAGAAACCATTTTGGCAAGGATTCAAATTCAGTTTCAGTTGCAATTCTTCATTGCTCTTCTTCGCTGCACATTCTATAAATATGTAGGAATATGTAAATTAGTTGTCGTTGTGCCGGCAACGAAAATACACCAAACAACATGGGAAAAATAGCATAAGAAACTAAAAAAAAAAAAGAAAAACAGGTAACCCAAACGAAAGGGAAAATGATGCAGGAAAGGAACGAGACACAGGGAGAAAAGTATCTTAGTAATAATTTCCTAAGTAAATTAGAAAACTTTTCAAAGGATGTTAGAAATTTAAATAGAAATTGAAAGATGCATTTTTATAAACAAAAAAATAATTGGAAAGACAACAAAAGTGAAGAAAAAATCAAGCTAAACAAAGTTTCTTCATAAAATATTCTACTTAAAATATATAATCACTAACTTGGCTCATTAATTGTTACATTAAAATACTTATTTGTATAATTTAAAGTACAACATTTAATGCTAAAACTTTTCAAATGATATCAAGATAATACAATTAACATTAAAATATGAATTTATACAAATTTGGTAAAATTCTTTTTAAAGACATGAAATATTTTAAATTGAACCCTGATGTCCTGGCAATATTTATTCCTTTATATTTATTTGAAATTTTTAAATCTCAAAAGTTCATTGCATTTTTTGCCGTGTCCCTGGAGAAACCAATTGGGGGCAGCTGCTGCCCAAGGAAAAGGGGAGGATGTGCAAACAAAAACTCTGAATGGAAAACAAATTTTTCTGTACTTGTTTTTTTATTTACAGTAGGCGCAAAAAAAAAAGAACCAAAGACGGAACAGAAAAGTTTTCAATTCAATTTGTAGCGGCAAAGTGCAAGCGTTGATCCCCAAAAAGCATTCCTCAGATATAAGACAGCTGCACACGCTCCCTCCCCCTCGCTCCCTCCCCCTCAGTGACTGAGTGTGCGTGTGTGTGTGTGTAAACTTGGAGCGCAATGTAAATAAACAAAGCGCCAAAGACAACAACAATCGAGGCACTGATTCGAGGAGAAGCCAGCGAAGAAAAGAACCAAGTTTGCACCTTCTTCTATAGACTTTTCTTTGATTTTCAAATAGATAAACAGAGCCCCTAGAGGCGGTAGAATCTATCTTCTTTTATTTTTAGTGATAGGCAAAGGTGTCAACTGTTGTAACTTACGAGCTGCAGGCGTCATATGTCTGTTTAAAATAGTATATAGACTCTGGGAAAAACTCTATTACACAAGCGAGTACGGAAATTGCCGTTCATTAGGGAGCTTTTGTTCCGGGGATGCTGAGTGGAGGCTAGGAGGGAGTCTGTCGGAGAATTCATAAACCAAATAAGCCCAGAAACGTGCCTGATGTTTCCAGCAATATGCGGTTCCTTTGGTTGATTTTTAAATATTTAAAAAACTTAAACAAATGGAATTTTCTAAGATAATAATCAAGACTTTCAGCATTATTTTCTAATAATAAACTTAGCTTTGGGCAATATTAATATATTCTCCTAAATGATGAGTCATATATTCAAGATCCTAAGTACTTAAGTACAGAGAGTATCTACAAGTCGACTATTTGTTTTGCAAATATTACGAAATTTTCAAATTTTTTGTTGCAAATGCATCAGGCCAATGGATTATGATCATCAACCAATTGCAAAACTGTTTGTTTTATGAGTCGGGCATACAAACAAATACAGATATATATATGTTTGCGTACAGATGCAGATCGGCAGAGTTATGCCCGCCATTTGCAAACAGCTTTTAATATCAACAGGCCCCAAATTTTGTCAGCTGGTGTGCGGCATTATGTACGAGTACATCGGCTATTCGTGCTGTACAATTTTTTCGCATTTGCACATTAATTTATTTATATGCATAAACATTTGCATGCTATTCGACTTGGCACACCCTGACCCAACAGAACCCCCCAGAGCCCCCCACTTCGACCCACTTTACTGGCCGGCTGGCATTGAGTCAGTTTCGAGAAGAGAAAAAAAAAACAGTTGAACTTCCTTAAAATCAACTGATTGAACTTCAACTCTAAGGAGAGTTTTCTTTTGATTTTCTACTTAACTCAATTTAAATATTTATATTTTAAGAACTTTTAGGAGTATTCTTATTCATTAAAATCTAAGGAAAGATTTACAAATTTGTACACCAAAATTTAATTAAAATTTAGTACAAATATTTATATTGACCAGAAATAATAAAGGGTTTGAAAAAAACACAGGAAAGGTGTTTAAAATAAAGCTATTAAATTAAAAATAACCTATGTACACCAAATTTCTCTCCTAGCAAATTTTATTGCATACTTTTTGGCACATTTTTAATGGAATTGAAAACTCTAAGAACCCTGACATTTTGGTTTTCAGCTAAACAGATGATCTCAGAGTCTAGTAAAAACTACAACAAATAAAATCCTATTTAATCTTATTTAGCTAATCTAAAAACCCAACATAAATCCTAAATGTAAACCTTATAGAATCCATACTGTACTCAGAGAGAGAGGTACTCGATGTGAGCTGCAAATTAGCCAGCGACAGCATCGGTAGCAACAACTAGCAAATGGCGATTTTTCGCATAGAGATCATAATATCTTCAAGATACAACTTATCGGCCGAGAGCAAATTCGTTCAACTCGTGGCTTGCATAACGCGCGGCCAAGCGAGTGACCAATATTTACCGATCGTTCGAATATTTTCGCCCCCAAAAACCCCCCTGCTGCAATTTGTAGTTGCAAAAAAAAAATTCGTTTGTAGTGCGCGCGCGCTTTTCTTTGCTTTTTGCCCAAGTCAATTAGAAGTTTCCGGTCCACAACGCGATTCGCATACAAAAAACACCATCAAAGAGACAACAAAAAAAAAAAAAAAAACGATAAGCGAAATTAAGAAATCATAAAGTCAAAAATATAAATAATATAGACATTGTAAACGTTTTCGGCGGCCTTTGCGGCTCCCATTTGGGAGCACTATATTGGGTGCTGGCAAATAAATTAAGTACAAACCAAACATATTAATTGCAGTTAACGACCTACCTCCGCACCGAACAACTCAAACCGATAATCAAACGCACAAATCAAAGCCAGCAAAAAGGCAATCATCATGATCAAAGCGAAAGACTCGACGTGGCTGTTGCTCATTTGTCTGCTAATTGGACAACTCTATGGTAAGTCAAGGACTCGGTCTAATGGCCCATTAAATCAAAGAACTAATTTCAAACAACACGATCAGATATTGAGCCACCAAAGTGGTTTTTATCGGGAGCTATTTGGTTGCAGAGGAAATTCCGGGAAAAATCTCAGAGAGATACACAGAAAGAGAGAGTTGTAATGAATGTGTAATATTTTTTATGAGTACTTGTAAAGATAAGAAAATGGGAAGACCCGAAAGTGCAGCAGAAGAAGCTTTGATTGTCTTTGGAAAGGGGCTATGAAGAAAATTTTACTTACTGGAAAAATAAAGAATAAATTACTGCTGAGGGGCTCAGATTGGTATATTTGTGAACTATGAACAAATTTCATTGTTTTTAGTTAGTTTAATCTTTATTTGGCTTTTAATTATAATTTTACTAATAAGAAAATCCTATAAAATTCCTTTTTAGATTTTTATTTTCCTGTGTTATTATTTCTTTTGAAAAATGCCTAATAAGCTTGTGATCTCATTAAGAAAATATAAGGTAATATTGACAGACATTTCCTTATTTTTTATTAATTTTCTCCAAATATATTTTGCCTTTCTAAGAAATAAATTCTTTAAAGTAAGAAATTAAAATATAATGACACATTTTCTTAGGAGCTTAAGATCTTGGGCTATTTTCTATTAATGAATTTAAGTTTCCTGTGAAATAATTCCTAATAAAAAGTGTGGGCTAGCAGGAAACTGACACATTTCCTTTTTCAGATTTTTCTGAATATACCTTATATACCTTATACTTATATTTCCTCAATCAAATTTGTACAGTTAATTTTTGATTAACGTAATTAAACTAAATTTCCCATTGAAAAAAGTATAAGGAAAAGATATTGATAGTAATATAAATGAGGTAATTTCGAATGACATATTCTTAATAATTTTTAAATAAATAACTTAGCAATCAGTAACCTGAGCCACAAAATCCTTACATTTCCTTACTTGCATACTTATATTTCCCTTTATATTTTTAAAATTTCCTTCTCTGACTAACAAGCAAAGTCATACTTCCATAGTGAAAATATTGAGGTAACTTCCAATGACACATTTCCGACTTCGTCAGGGCGCCAGTTCATGGAAATGAGTGACATATTTTCATTACAGTATTCTGCATATTGCCACACAGAATCTACTAAATATCAATGGAATTATTTGAGGCACACCCCGGAACCTTATCGGGTGTGTAGTTAATTGATCCCCTATTGCCTTAACTTTTTGATTTCTTTTAATTTACACAAAATGAACGCATGAAAGTCAAAGTCTCTTTTGACGTCGTTGCGGTTCAATGGGTCTACGTAAGTTTCCAGAAACTATGAATTACCGAATATCAGACAAAAATAGGTAATGAGCCGCTCTCGCTATCGAGAGTTGGAGTCACGAACCTCCTCCCCACGCACACACCAAGGCGCCGCTGGAAAGCTTCCAGATACGCTAGCCCCGTGTATGTAGGTGTGAGCCAGGGCCAGAGAGCCACGTGCATTTGTAGGGCTCTGACTGGCTTATCTTTTGCGTAAACTGAACTGAAACTGAATGTAGGTGGGTATAGCTAGGTAGTATAGGTGCCACCAGTTGGTGCGGCTGGAACAACAAGCATATCTTATCGCCGGAGAGAGGCAAACACTTATCTCGCCGCTCGGCAAGTTAAAGTTAAATTTCATTCGCTTTTGGAATTATGGCGCAAATTGCTGATAACGGTTCACATTCCATTTCACGTAGCCCGGCAACGTCTGCAGCACGCACGCACTGGCTTGGAAACTCTTCTGCTTTCCTCATTTTCCTGTCTTGCCAGTGGAAACTCACCCAGACTCGTCTCCCGTCATTTTCCCGGGTGCCATGTGTTCTGCAATAGGAATACAAAAAGGAAAATAAATAGAATAAATATTTGCCATGCACGAAGCGAAACGTTGTGCAAAGAATGCCATTTTGATGTTGAATTTTTGCTCGTAAACTTGTTTTTTGCCTTCAGGCTGTTTCACAGAGAGAAATGGTTAGGCACTATGTCCTTAAATTGGGTTTATTTGTTTTTGTGAGGGATGTACTAATGTAGGGTGATAGTAATAGGATAAGATTCAATACATTTTTTACTATATGTTAGCTTTTATTCCCTCGCAGGACATTACTTTTTAAATTAAAAAAATAAGTAGATAATTTCAGCTAATATATTACCTTGTTCGTCACAGTAAAATATATTCATAGATTCTTGATTAGCATCACCAGACGAGTCGATCTAGTCCATAACTTCTTTGATAATCAATGTTTAGTTTATATTTAAAGGTATCTTTGTAATGATTTCTAATACTGAGTAATAATACTTACTTTTCTGATTATATTTATTGAAACTCTTATTTGGTCTCAAGGGAACAGTAAAAAATTCTCAAATAATTTTATTTCAAGTCATAACCTTATCCAATATTTAGTTCCTCCCCAAGGAAAAGCTCTCTGTGTATGCGAAACGCCCCTTGAATTTAAAGTTATCTGATGCCCCAGGGCATAAGGCCACGACGATATGTTTTTGCCAGAATATTCCAATATTTATATACTAGATGTGGGCTTTTTAATTAAAAAAAAGTGAATTTCATCCAATTTTAGCCATGAGATAAGACAGCAAATTAAAATAACCATACACACATGAGCACACACATTGCGGGGAATTTGGAACTTGGCGTTCTCATATGTCAATAATATTCTAGCTGCTCCAAAATATCCAAGAATGTTTGGCCTACAAACAACTTGCCCCAGTCAATTTGTACAATCTTTCATAATACGGCAACGAGTACAAGACCCAACAAAAATATTTGTTTTCATGTTTTCAATTCTTTTTCAGTTGCAGAACTCACAAAAAAGACTTGATAAAGACTTGGCCCTAATGGGAATTTGGTTTATTTACATCGAAAACAGATAGACAGTCTCAAGGTTAGCCAACCAGCTCCACCAGTCCCTTGAGGATCTAATGGAACAATGTTCCCAGAATTAAGTGCTTGCCCCGTGCATACAATTATCTATATACATATATACTATATGTGTGTATGTACGATCTGCATGCATAAATGCTTAGCTGACTTTTCGGCGGCTCTTTTTTGGTCTTTTCCGAAAAACAAACGAAATGATCAAATTACGCATTCGCAACGTTCGCTTTCCAAAAATAAAGATCGCATAATAAATCAGTGATTTGATCAATCAAAATGCTCCGGCAGCGGATCCCGAGGGTGCGGAGGGAATGCGTGGCCCCACCCATGGACAAGGTGGGCTGGGGAAGAGAGGGAATCGATTTGCCGATTCAATTGATTTCAATTTAATTTTCCATTTATTATGTGTTTGTATTTTGTCGGCAGTTGCCTCCGTTTATTGTGCGTCTCTATGCAAATTCATGGAATCGAATTATGTATACAGTGGAGTGTCTTTAAAACATACTTGACTTGTTGACTTTTGATCGGAAGTCTAGTGTTTATGTAGTGGTATTATATAAGAGTTAAAAAAAATTGTTTTAAATTGTTTTTAAATCAATTAAAAATGTGTAAAATAGTATGCAATACATTTCTAATGCTTTTGTCTTTTGTAGCATACTTTTAGACACATTTTAAAGAGATTTAAGTATGCAAGGAGGTTTCTAAGACACTGATGATACAGAAATGAAGAAAATAGAGGGTCTCTTCAATTATATATTACACGATTTCAAGTAATTTTAAATCTCTAATATTAAAAATCCCCAATTATCTCTCTAAAACGTTAAACATACTCTCCAAAACAAAATTCAAAAATTTGATAGTTCCTTTTATGGAAGATCAACTGTGCTCTTTCAAATCTCTGACCACTGCCCCAATGTTTTGGAACTCACCCAGTTCTGGGCACTTTTACGACCCCCCGTCACAATCGGACTTCTCCATCGACTTGGACATGACATGTCGATTAAAGAATGTTTCCCCCCGACTCACCCAAATCTGGATGAGGTTTCCTTTCGGGTTCCGAGATTTCAAAAAATGCTGTGCATTTAGGATTGGCAAGCAGCGATGCCATTTATTTAAAATTTTATTATTTTATTATTTTATTATTTATACACACTTTTCATTGACTCAGCAGACTTGTGGGGCTAGCGAGGATGTGTCGATGTGGGCCATTCTAGATTTGTTTACTTATTGACCTCATAACTCATCCGTGTCTGTATGCGATATCTCATGCGTCTACCGACGCGACCAACCACATGCGGGACATCAAATAACAAAAAAAAAAAAAAAAAGCGACGTGATCATGAATTGGCAATCAAAACGGACGCTATATAGCATCTTGAACTAAATCTTGAATGGGAGTTATCAATGGTTCGTCGGTTGATTTTCCCAGACCGACCTTGCTGATAATACGACTCGAGTGGAGTACGTACATATGTATATGGCGCCAGGAAACCTTGTTAATGAGACTTACATACTAAAAATACATAAAAACTCACTCGGAATCTGGGGCAAAGTAATGAAAATATATAATTAAATTCCCAGGAAAGAGCCACAGCCATGATTATTTTAAGTTTTAGCAGTGAAAAGTTAAGCTGGGTAAAACAACAATTCAATTAATGCAGCTTAAACCTATTTAAATATTGATGGCGACTTTTAATTATATCCTAACTTTAACTTTCAATTAATGAAACTACTTTTTTGATACTAAATAATTTGGTGAGACCTTCGCCAACTGCTTTAAGTTTACATTTAAAAGTGTCAAGGTGTGACTGTAATTTTATATGAATTATTTTAAGAACTTCGAGTGTCTGTAAGGTTATCACAAAATTAAAACTGGTTTGTTTTTCAATTTAAAATTAATTACATTTATATTGAGAAACTATTGCCTATAGAAAAACAAAAATAAAACGAAGAGCTCATCAACAAAGAGTGATAAAAACTACACGGAATGCAGCGATGTGCCGGCATAAATGTCTTGAGGGAAAATTTATCTCAGCTTTAAAACTACTTCCCAAGTAGTTACAAACTCGAAAACTATAGCTTTGCAATCTGTAAAATTATGCTTGGTAAATTGAAAAGCACACGAAGCAGACATCTTTTTAAAAATAACAAACATCTGCACAGAATTCCAAACAAAAACCCACGCAAAAACTCTTGCCAGTCGCCATAAACATTTTAACATGACTTCATCTGTCAGGGAATGCAAAGTCATCAAAAGTTGGCCCAGAATGGAGGAATGGACTGCGACAAATTCCCGACGACATCCCAATGCCAATGCAGGCCACAAATGGCCATTGTGTGTAACATTGAACTCGAGTTTAGAGACAAAGAAGGAGTGGCACGCTCTGGGGGGTCGCGGAGGGTCTCTGGATGAGAAGCTGGCGCCGCGACATCCTGACGCCTTTGTTCCACTTAAAACGATTGCACTGGGGGAGCACTCGGAGCTGGAGCTAAGACCTGGAGATTGGGGGTGTCGTCGCAGCAAGTGCGAAAGGGAGAAGGCCAAACATCCCAGCCATCTATCCATATGGATGAACTTAAGCCCCGAGTGGCTGCTGCTGTTGTTGCCGGGGAGCTGCTGGAGCTGTTTTTTATTTGCAACCCCCGACGACATCGATCCAAGGACGACGGAGCCCAACCAAGGGGGCTGGATGACGCATGCGGCCCCCTTGAATCCCTCAGCTGACTTTTGGCGCTGACCTACTTGCAGACAACAATTGCGTGGAGTCGGGATGTATCCGTTTAGCCGTAGCTGTATCCAAGGAGTGCAACCTTGACACAGGCCAAAGATTGCAGCTAGATCGTTGCGGTGAAGGTCTGTCTCAATGCTGCTCTTGGCCAGCTTTTATATCTCATTTTTCTGTTTTTACTTCGGAGTGGCCCGGACCATAAAAGGGGCGTCTGAGCGGATGGCAGTTGTAGAAGACTGCCGGCTCCTCCGACTTTTGGCTCGAGTGCTCACCTTAAAAAGCTTTTATCGACCAGTGATAACGAGTTTAAGCGACTTGCGTAATCCCAGCAATATCCATCATAACCTTATATGACGGCCATGATGGAGTTGCTTTGGTGTCGTCGTGACTCACTCAACTGTCGGCCGTTAGATGTCAAGTGAGGCACATATGGCATGCAAATTGTTATGGCTAATACATAAAAGATTGCGGCCGCTTAAAATTGCTCATACGATTTGCATAAATCCTCCATTGCTGACGGGAGTAGAGTCATCATCAGTCTTATGGGAAACAGAGTACTTAACAATCCGAAAGCCCTGTTGACTGTACCTGCTTTTTATGACATTCAGTAATTTACTTACAGCTTAGCTACACGTCTCTTCTCATATCTAGTTTTTGTTTTTTATCTGTGCGTGAGATTATCTGATTTTATTTTACGATGTTGCCAGAAGAGAGGGTTCTAGATTCTTTGCAACTGGACCTGACTAAGAGCAAACATTATGGCCAATCAAGTGCGAGTATCTGCAAATATTCACGGCGGTATCTCCCCCTAGTTCCTGTTTTCATGCTCATTTCCGTTCTCTCAAATAAACGAGTTCTTTGTGGCCGAAGCGACCCTTTGATTGGAAGCAGAAGTTGCTAGGGATGTCGAGTGATTTTTATCAGTTCCAATTAAGTCTGGAACCACTTAGAGAGGGTGACTCACTTTGATGCACCTTTCCTTTCACTGAGTGACGTAATGATTGGAAAATTGTTGTGCCAAAACTAGGCTTGCATAGTGATCACTTAATTTGTTTATTTTAGCTGACTATAAAATGTGTGTTTTTCTCCATAAGGTGATGAGGTGCGATTTATAAGCAAAATTAAAAATAACACCTGTAGTTTTTATGAGTAATAGGTGTGATCCGCCAGATTGACTTTACCTATTAATATGGTTTTATGACTATCTAAACCAGAGAAATCGAGAGAGAATTTGGGTAAGGAGTTATTAGCCATAAATACAAACCCATAAATATAAATTTGACTATAATTTCTTTTGCTATAAATAAAACAATAATTAAATATATTTATCTTATTTTTAGTGCCCAGCCAAGGATCCCCGATAGAAGGAGATCAAACAGACTATCAGGAAGATGACTACGATTACGGCGATGATGGCGCCGATGACTCATCGAAGGGCGATGTTACGGACACCTTGGATATCACAATGCCTCCGCCCTATTTCGAGGAGAACGATCTCAAGATCGAGGCCAAGCCAGGTGACGATGTGGTGCTCAACTGTGATGCCCGCAATTTCCAGCGTAAGTTTCTAAACCTTAACTCCATAAGAAGAACCTTCTAAAGTTCCAACTTTGTCCCACCTTAGTGAGCAACGCTGTGATGTGGTACAAGAACAAGACTATCATTGCCAATGGCCAGAATGCCATTGGGCATCGCGTCGAGTGCATGCCCAACAACTCCATCGTACTGAGGGACGCCTCCGCCGAGGACTCCGATGACTACTACTGCGAGATCCTGCCCCAGATGGTCCGACAGCACACGACACTGCGGGTGGGCGCCCGGCTGTCGATCCTCTGCGACGATCGCGATGTTACGGATCGCTCGCAGACGTTCAGGCAGGGCGACCACCACAAGCTCGAGTGTCGGACGTATCTGCCGGGCGAGAATACCATCAAGTGGTCCTTTAATGTATGTTTTCATCACTTCCCTACGATCATCCACAACCTTCCTTCATCCGTATATCTTTTAGGGCCTGCGTTTGGAATCCTCACCCGAGGACATCAAGAATGGCGTTGTTATTCTGGACAACATTGATGAGCAAAATGCTGGCGTGTATCAGTGCCTGGGGGACGATGGCAGTCGCTATCCTCCCCACGGCATGGTCACTGTTGATGTTCAGTACAGTCCCAAGGTGTCGACCCATCGGCATCATGTGAACACTGAAGAGGGTCACACCGCGGAACTGTACTGCAACTATCGGGCCAATCCCATTGGCAGGAGTTACTTCATCAAGGATGGCAAGACGTTGCAGCTGTCAGAGAAGTATTCTCTGAAGGATTCAGCTCACAATGGCCACAATCGCACCACGCTTGTCATCAGGGAAGTGGGAAAAGAGGATCTGGGCGAGTATCTGTGCCAGGTGGAGAATGCCATTGGCTCTAACGAGGTGAAGGTGCATGTCAGTTACAATCCAGAGACCCCTCAGTTCGAGGACATGAAGGTGGAGGGCACCAAGGTGACCATGCACTGGCTGGTGAGGAGTCGTCAGCCGCTCTCCGAGGCTATATTGGATTACCAGCTAACGGGGGTGAGTGATAAGAGGGGGAAAGAAGGTTCATGAACGGTTCTACCCCTAACTTATGCTAGAAAATGGTTTATCTTAAGCATACTTTTGCAGCACACTTTTAGATGCTTCTTAAAATCAGCCAGAAAAGTTTCCCAAATACTTCCCTAATCAAAAATTAATCTGCAGTCCTCTAGAAGATGAAAATATTTAACCTATTCAACTCCAACTAATTCCCATCGTTCCCCCTTTTTAGTCCTACACTTGGAGCACGGTCTCGGTGCTGCAGACGCATCGCCACAACCACACCGAGGGCATCTGGAAGATCACACATCAGCTGGACCTGCCCCGACGCGGCCTGTGGCATGCTCGCGTTAAGGCGAAGAACACCCATGGCTGGTCCAATTTCTCGCCGGATCACGATTTCCAAATCGAGGAAGATGATGGTGAGTCACTCACTAGAACTTCCATGAACCCAACTTTAATTATTTTCCCGATAGAATCTATTGCTGCCCCCGATATGGATCTGCCGCCGGAGCAGATCATGCAGGCGGGCGTTGGCATTACCCGAGGGGCTGCGTCAGCCCTAAGGCAGCTGCCCGCGATTACTGTAGCCTGCGGCGTGCTCCTGGCCTCGCTCCTGCTGCGCGTCCGCCTCTAAGGCCCGCCGCCAGACGATGGGCAGGGGAAGTGTACATACGTTTTTCCGGATTACGCACCTATTATCGATGGCATCGGTGCGATTGCGACCGCAGGAATAGGAAACACAGAGAAACTAAAGTATTCTAATTATACAAATGCTAATGCGCGCGCCTGCTAGCTTGGGTCAATGTTAATGTTAATGCTAAAACACACACGCTGGAGCGATCACCACTGAAACATTTGTGCCAAGCCAGGGAATTTGGACCGCAGCGGGGAGGAGTAGAATTGTGGTAGAGGAGTGGCAATTAAAGTTAATTTAGTTTAGTTAAAGTTTAAAGTTAAAGTTTGAAGAATTGACATTGCAACAAGCCGAAGGGGGATGTGAAATTTTTTGATTAGGACACAAAAACTGCGACGATCGGTTTAAAACCGCCAAAAAAAACCTTTTTTGATTAACCTTAGCTATAATATTTATTTGTTTTGTATGTATGCATGTGAAAGTTGGCACGACGAAGGAGAGATGGAGAGAAAGAGAGGAGCACATCCTTGTTACCTGAAACGGAAACGGAAACACGAATAGGGCCCGAGTCTCGAGGGGCATAGCTACACTTTCGGGTAACGATCAAGTGACTTTTTAGGATTTGCAATACTTACACAATATTTTTGTACAGCCAAGCGTACTTAACGTAACGTACTGGTTAGTGGGGGGTAGAGATCGAATGGGCACGCGAATTATTTTATATACACTAGACCAAAGCTTAGAAATACACATGTGTACCAGCGCCACACCATACATATGAAACTTACTTTTACGAAACTACGCCACATCAACTTGGAACAGAACCGAAACGAACTGGACAAATCGGGGGAGCGGAGGATATACACACTATATAGATATATGTGAGAGGGTTTTGTCTTTGATCCTGCTACAATACCTGAGGAATATCGCCATAACATGCTGACCATATACACACGCACCGTACGCATGCGTATGTGTTACCCAATTGTGAGTGTAGGAATATATTTTATATATATTTTATTTAAGAATCATAACATTAGAGCTGATCAATAAACGTGCCAATTGAAGCAATCAAGCGAATCTTATTGCTCAAAATCAAATGAAGAAATATGAAAATAAAAGAAAAAGAAACGTAAAAACAAAATGAAAGTTCCATAAACAAAGTTTTGACGAGGACCTGATTTCGAATGCCGACCTTTAAGCATATACATATATACAGAATCATATATATATATATAACGATATACTTAAAAGCCAGTGTCTTACATGAATATTGTCGTTTTCGTTGAGTCCATGGATAAGCAAACACAAATATAAATAAACTAAACGAATACATTGTGTGTTTTCCTGGTGGATTCGAAACAGATTTCGGGTTTTGTATACTTTGGTTCCTTTTTTATTTAATAAATAAAGTTGATTTCGTGTGTCTTTACAAAATACAAAAATTTACAATCAACAGAGACTTGAATTACTCGATTTCCTTTTGAGAAGATTGGAAAAAGTAGACAACTTAATACTAAACTAAACTAATGCCTGCCGATCCCCAGCAGCACTAGGACCGTCGAGCCCAGCAACGTCCAGCCCAGCAGCAAACTGCAGCTCGCAGATCCTGATCCTGCCGCGGAAGTGGAGCTCTCCGGCGCAATGGCGTCCAGGGAATGTTCGGCAATGGAGACCTTTGTGTAGACCACGGAATTGGAGGGCACAGCCAGGCAGTGGTAGCTGCCAGCGTCCTGGGGACTTGCCTTTAGAATGGTCAGATCGTAATTGGGGTCCAGCTTGAAGTTGGACAGCACCAGGGTCTTGCCATTGGCAATGATATTATCGCCGAAATACCACAAGATCACGCTTTCTGCCAGCACTGTAAAGGATATTTATTTTATGATTAGAATGGTTTTAAGTTGGAATATAGTCTCAAAGACTCACCCTTGCTATCCAAATCGCACTTCAGGACCAAATCCTCGCCGCGTATACCCGTTGCCGTGAGAGTTTTATTGACTTTCTCGCTGGGACTCGTGGGACTTGTGGCTTTGGTCTGTGGAGAGGGCGCACTATCATCATCATCATAGGTGAAATCGTCATTCTGCATCTCTTCTTCGGTTAAACCTTGGGGAAAGGATAAAACTGTAAGGGAACAAAAAAGAATGTAATTATAATAAAGAATTCTCTTCAAAAATCAAAATCTTCTTGCATTATAATGTATTTAAAAAGTTTATTTTAAGTATTTCTTTAAACGAACATTGTTTGGTTTTAGAATTTCATTTATTTAGCCCCTAATGCTTCCCATCTAGCACATAAAAGCTATAGCTTATAAGATCTTCTGCAATCATCGGATTGTTTATAATGCCCTTACCCCCAGGGGGTCACATCAGCCACCACATTTAGTCGTTGGGTTAATTAAAGGAAATTAAATGGAAATCGAAACCATGGCAAGCTGCTGCTGTTGTTATTAATGTTGTTGCTTTAGCAGTGTGCATTAGGCCATCATAACTGTCTGTATTTGTGTTTGTTTTTGTCTTTATCATTTTCGCAGCTCAAATTCATCAAGGGAATGTTAGGGTAGAGGGGACAGCTGCACTGATGATGGGTTAAATTAAAGGCTGGCAATTCGCATTCACAGTTTTCCTTTTTGTGGTTCGCTTCTCCCCAGAAGCCAATAAATGCACAGAGAAAAATTAGCTTAATGTTAAATATATAATAAATTAATTGGGTATTCTTACTAAGCAATATAAATAATTAATTATATTTCTTTTAATAAGAGTTAATGTTGTGTAATAATATTAAAATTGTATTATTACTTCTGGTTTTCTTCATTTTTTACTAAATTACTAAGGACATTATTCTTTCAAGTGTATTTACATACGCATGTGCATGTGTACAAACATATTTTGAGGAAAACATTTCGGTGAAATGGGGTCACATGAAAACCGAAAATTAAAATGAGCGAATGCAGAGAAAGAGGGAAAACAACAGTGCCTAACCCAACACCATTCTCCTCCCCCTCGCTATCGCTGCGTCTCCCTCTCACTCTCACTCCCGGGGGTTCTCCCTCCGCCTCCCACCCTCCTGCGCTTGGGCGATCGCCGCACCCACATGTGACGTGCTGACGGAAAGGAAAACTATACCAACTAACAAACGTCAGAGAGGAGAATGCGGAGAAGGCGAAGAACGGCGACGCATTGGGCCACTTTTTGTTTTTGGTGGTGTCACCGATGGACACACACACACGCCGCCGAATTGAAAGCATTTCACAACAATGTCCATTTTCATAGTGCCAACTGCAACACGCATACACGTCAACAGTGGAATGCACTGTAAACAAAATTGTGAAGCTTTTTAAGAAGCTAAAATAATTGGGGAACTTGACAAATAAACAATAAATGCAAAGAAGGGTAATAAAGAAGGTAAAGTTAATAAAAACGAAGTATAGATAATACAAATTATTGAATTACTTTTAAAGTACAAAAATTATATTTTATTATTTAGATATTATAATTAAATAAACCCAAGTACAAAAACTAGAAAGGGGTAAATAATAATGCAGATAATGAAAATCCTTAGAAGCACTGATTCACAAGTCAGCAGATTTCTTTGCCCGACCTCTGACGGCACTCTACTATATATAGAAGGCAGAAAAATCTTGATATTAACAATCAATCAAGAAATGAATCATATTAACCATTCGTCATGAATAACTTAACTTTAATTCTTAAACAAATGTATTTTAATATTTTTAATACAATATTTTTATCCCTTTATTCTTTCCGTGTACAAAGTAAAACACCTCACACACACCCTCGAAAAAAAGGGACAGTTTAGGTCGGGTGATTGTGAAAAGTTTAAATTTACATTTTGTACATTTGCTTTGGCCGCTTGTTTCTATGAGTGTTATGGCCAGTTTTTCATCGTTTGCTCAGTGTTGCGTGCTAAAAAAAAACACTTAATTTTGGACAAAACAACAATTCTCCCCGGGCTTCCAACTCGAATTCCGATTCCGTTTTCGATTCTCCAATTCCTGCCAAAAGGAAAATGATCTTTCCCTCTACTTTTTCGGGTTTTAAGTCCACAAAAAAATGCACATTCACTCACGCGCATTCGCTCTTTGTCGTAAACTTAAGCCATAAAAGAAATTTATTCTCGTATTTTACATTGAACCAAAAGACACTGAAGCCAACTGAATTTATGTTGGATGCTTTCCACCCCACAAAAAAAAAAAATAAAAGAAAATAAAAGAAGAAGCCATTGAACCGGGAAGATAAGCGCAGTAGAGCAAGCACAACAATCGCAATGAAAGTTTATTTTATTTGCGGATTTTTTTCAGGAGAATCGAATGGTTTTTTTAGCTTCCGATAAACATAAACGATAAGGAACTTGGTAAATATACTTCTTTGGGGAAGGAAATACAAAGTACATGTGAAAATAAACAACTTGAAAGGGATGTGGTGGATATTTGTTATATCTCTCTGATTGCTGAATAAAATCTTAAGATCCCTGTGGGGCCTAAAACTTAAAAAATGTATTCACCATGGGAATAATTAGTGCTAGATGAGTAACCCATAATGGGACCTAAAAATCAGATATTTTATACCCAAAGGAAATATAAATATAACACTATTTTTTCAAGCTTAAAGTGTATAAATACCCCTTGAAAAGATATACAAAGATATTCCTATGAAAAGATTAAACCATTTAAGGCCTTCATTTATAATTCCATTAATTCCACTCTGGCAGGGCAGGAAGGTATACCTTCTAACCTCTAATTTCGGACTCACATCCTCCCGAAACGATCTTAACCCCGGATTATGTACGCTTTCGTGTTCTCCCTATCTCAGGGCAGATAAAAGTTAACCCTTGTTCCTGGCCCATTTTAATTGCTACTCAGAATTAGACCGACAACAATTTATCATAACCATGATTCTGGAAATAAAAGACAGAGCGCTGGAAATGCATTTTTCAGCTAATAACCCAAAGCCACAGGCCAAAGTTAAGTCAGTAGTATAGGTATAGTGCCAGTCACTCCCTGTACCCCGTACCAGCCGCTCATTTACCTTTCCCCCTAGCCCATGGCTCGGGAATCATTCAAGTGCAGCACTTTTGTTGTTGGTTTTACTACCTGTGATAAGGCCCCGGAGGAAATTAAGAGCCAGGCCAGAGCCGCGGAGGGAGCGAGCTCTCTGATCTCTGATCTCCTTTCCGAATGTTTTCAGGTTTGTCCAGCCGGGTTGGCTCTGTTCATCCCCTCCCCTAAACCGAACACTGGGAGAAATTTAATAGGAATTTGTTTCCTAGAATTTCGACCCAGAAAACTTGTCAATAAGGTTTTTTCTTTAATATTATATGATATATAATACCATCTAAATATTTTTAAATATATTATTTTATTTTAGAAAAAATCCTATATTATCTCCCACACAAATTATAATTTTTCCAACTTGATATACAATTTACCACCAATTTTCCACAGTGCACTACGTGTCTGACCAGTCACCGCTTTCTAGTGGAGAAAAGACCTGGCCAAGGGACCAACTCTGCGTTATATGAGCCGAAAATTGTTTGTGCGTCGGCACAGGAGGATGAGGAGGAGTAGGGGGAGGAGGAGGAGGAGGAGATGGCTTTGTGCCTGCGTCTGTCTGAGTGAGTATCCGTGTCCGTGTGTGTGGCAGATAGAGACATGAGGCGAAGCGGATAATGATAATGGCATTCGGGTTCTGTGAAAGCGATCAGGTTACGGCCATGTAGGACCACGGATCGAGGAGGCGAGAACCTCATAAAGCGACTACCTACGCACATTGGGCAAGGGCACTTTAAAAATTGAAATTGGCCAGGAGCCCAAAGGGGAACTCACGGCCCAGGAGCAGATGTGCAGCATTGACAGATGCCGAAAATAGCAAATTATTCGCAAGCGTGTCCCGGGTCTATGGCAAAAGGGATTGCAGACTAAAAACTCATTTGACAGCTGTCGTTGGCTGGCTAAAAACTAATTGAGGATTTAAAAAAAAAAAATGTATTCCAGAAATGTCTAAAATATGCAAATGCTCTATGCCGCACACACGCATGTTCCAATAATTTCGACCTCCCATTACCCTAATCGATTTATTTCCATTTCCATTCGCTTGATCCCCCACGCGAGCTGCGGCATCAAGTGGCCGCAATAAATTTCGATTTTTCTATGATCCAAACACATCTACAATACAGATTCTAGAAGCACTCACGACTCTATGTGCACTTTCTTTATGCGCATTCCCAAAAACAGAGAACATTGATTTCACTTAAACGATTTTTCCACAGCGCCCTCGATCAGGGTTTCTATATGCCGGGAGATTTTCCCCAGTGGCCGCTGCACGTGCCTGCGGCAAGTGCCATGGATTTGGGTTCGGAATTGGATTCGGAATTGTGCGGGCATAGTGCCAGTAGTTGGTTGCGATGGCCATATGCTATATAGTCGAGGCGCGACTTCGACTACGCCCAGCGCATATTAAAAGGCTTCGGGGGCAGGGCTCGAGGGCTGTGTGAGTGTGTGTGTGTCGTGGCTCCTAATTAATATGCGGCACTCCTTTCTTGTTCTTCCCTAGCCATCTATCCATCTATCCCAATGCCTCCCTCCGCTCCTCTATTAACTGCTTGGGTTCGTTTCGATTTGGGTTTGGAGTCAAAGTTTCAATTGGAATTTTAGCACGCAGCAGAGACGGAACATAATGAAGTATGCCGTTAAGAATTTGTTAACTGCTTTGGCCGCCAAACAGAAGAAAACCAAAATAAATACATGTTAATAAGTGTGGAGACAGGTTGGACATTTATTAGTTGTAAAGCATTTTTCAAATTTCAAAGCCTTTGTAAATGAAACTGTTGAAAATTGCAATGTTTTGGGAGTGTTTTGAAATCACAAGCATTAAATCAATTTGTTAAGGTGGCAAAAGGGAAGGTAGACTTTGAAGGTTTTTAAAAATTTGTGTTGCAATCCATAAAATCTATTAGTCAAGGAGCTTAAAATTTAGGATCTACCATTATTTTATAGATTTTTTCAAGTATTCATTCAGAAAAATACATAGTACAACATAAATGTTCCTTTATTTTCCAAGACTTTAAGAACCCATACTTTGTACATAAGCTCTCAAGATAAACGTTCCAGAGATTAATCTGAAATCGCGGCATTCCAAAGCTGCAAAATAGCTAACATTGCTTGATCGGTTTCCTTCAAGTACACTCGATCAGCACTTCTGCTCCTCTTGATGGATCGTAAATTCTGGAAATACTTATGTATATGCCAAGCCGGGGAGAGCCGAAGCATCTGCGGCTTTTTAACTTTGACTTCTGCCTGCCACTGAATCACCAGTTGGCTTCTCCATTATCGTGCCAATGATCAGCGCTTGATGTGCATGTACATAGCCATGTACAAGTAAGCTATATAGGCATTATACATATGTACATATGTATATGTACGATCGTGCCCCACTTGAATGGTGCTGCACCAACCGCACCCGCTTGAAATGCCCGCACTCCGCCACGACGCGGACAACAACTCATTCAGCGGCAGGCAATTCGCCAGCGACGCTAAGTAAATTGATTCTTTAATTGTCGAGAATTGGTTACGAGTTGGCTTAACTCGCTCTTGCCGGCGCAGAGAGTGAGTCCCGTCCCCCGCCGATGTCCCCTCCCGTATGCCCACCCACTCCACAAAGCCCCCATCTGTGCAGTAGTGCAAGCGAATCGAGCGAGTACATGAATACCATGCCATGGTATGGCGAACAGACAGATCGTATGAATGAGTCACCATGGTCCAAAATAAATACCCGGGCCTTCGTCGAGCAGGAATTTCTGCACAGACAAGGGCAGGGCCCTCGCAACGCGCCACTCCCACCTCTGCTCCCTATTGGTAGGTTTATGCCTTGTACAATTCTTGATATAAAGATTATCTTTTAAATATTTAAAGATAAAATTTAATAGAAAAATGTGTCAAACTTCAAGCTGGTAAACTGTTAAGCATCTTAGTCTTAAAAATAATTATTCATGAATCTCTCAAATACCTGGTTTTCCTCACATAAACTTGGTATTTATACTTGGTAATTAATATAATTTCATGAAAAATGTGATAAAGGGTTTGATACCACACAAAAGTTAATCTTTAAAATATTTAGAGTTAAAACCTAATAGAAAAAAGTGTCAAACCTCAATCTGTTAAGCATCTTATTCTCAAAAATAATATCTTTCTTTCTACTTATTCATGATTCTCTTAAATTCCTGATATGCCTCGCATAAACTTGGTTCTTATATATGGTAGGCCACCTTCTCTCCCTCGCATTTCGAGCCAAACCAAATCTTTTTTTATGCTTCTCGCTTCTCGTCATATTCGCGGTCATTTGATGCCTTCTTTTTCTTCGGCTATGGTTCTGGTTCTGGTTCTTTTCCCGGGCACTTCAATTCGCACCACAACATTCCATGAAATTCAATCCCCAATGCGGAAAAAGCGAGGGAAAACAAGGCACTCCTGCACAAAACAAAAAATACCCAAAAAAAAAAAATCAACAGAATTTGTTCTAAAAAATCGGGACACTTGGAAAATCTGCTGAGTAGTAAAGTTTTCAAGAAATTCTTGTAAAATGTACTCAAATTTGATATTTAACAAGGAATTCAAATTTCCAAGCTTGGTTTTTTAGTTATACGACTCTTGGGGAATATGCCACAAAGTATTTGGATGTCTTCAGAAGAAGCCAACTACACATTTATGAAGAAGCGTTATATGTGTATAGAAAACTCCAATGGAAAAACAAGTTTGACTTGAAACTAAGTGGAGATTTTGTCTCCAATTTGTCTGCTCAAGATTTGTAAAAGATAACTACTTGGTTTGGTCTTTAAAAATTCAACCTTTTACGAAAGGTTAGTTTTATTTAATAGTTTAATTTTACAGTTAATAGATAAAATTAAACAGGAGCTTAATATATGTCACTGAATTAATAAACAATTTATTATATAACAATCCAAGATATTTCTCATACAACTTATTCCATCGTCTTGTTAGCAGTAAGCCCCACAGATTTCCATAGAGAAGCTGTCAGCGTCATTCACATATTACCTTCATGTTTAACCAGACATTGCTTAGATACCTGTTTATATCAAGAAATCAAGCATTTAAGCTTGCAAAATCTACAATGGTAATTGACGTTTAAGGAATTTGTAATAGCGTCATAATTGTTTGGCAAGCATTTCAAGACCCAACTTTTCTCTCAGTGATTAGACTTGTTGTTTACCCATGTCAAGCGCAGTCGGACATCTTTGGAATATTAAGTAAATATGGTAAATATGTGGACTGAGCAAACATAAATTCCTGGCGAAACATGTCAGCGGATCAGAGAGGAAACTGCCTTTCTTATATGTAGTATATATGTACATATATAGAAACAAGCCCACCATTTCGCAATCCAATCAATCTGATGATAATCGCATTGTTTATGAATTGGGGTAGGCAAACAAATGCGAAAGGGGTTCCAGGTGATCACACCAAGACCAATAGTGTTCTCACGCTTCTTCGACACGCTTCTTTAGGGGAATCGGTCTACCTAGCGGTGAGTTGAGGGGCTAATTAATACAGAACCCCGATCGGAATCCGGAGCCGAATCCGAATCCGATACCCAACCCTCCTGCTGCTCCTATTGATCATGGGTTTGTTTTTGCTCATTTCCTGGCCGCTGGGACAATGGGAGAAGTCTGGAATAATTAACAGCCGTAACCGAGTCGGAATCACAAATGGCAAAAAGCAGCACCCCACCGCACCCCTCCTTCAAAACATTTCCTATTGCCAAGCGCTTGAATGAGCGAGGAAAACTCGCATGCCATTCATCGAACGTGATAAATAACTGAATTAATGTGACGGCCTTTAGACAATAAATTATTAAGTTTACTGTTCGAAGCCACTCGCTGTAAGAAAGTGCAAAAATTACCAAGTAATAAAAACATTAAGATACACTATCTATACAGTAGGAAAAATAGCAACAAATGCGGAAATCTCTTGCATATATTTAGCAAAATGTCAGCAGAGACAAGATCTGATAATGAATCACTAACAAAAAAGGGGCTAATGGGAATCCTAATCGGTCATCATCGTTTAAATGATTCATTTGGTTCATAAAAATCCCCCAAATTCCATCTCTGATTTGCATAGATAAATATTACAAGAAAAATTAGTCACTTGGTTATATATTTTTTTGTGTTTGAGCATATGAAAAATCATATTTTTGAACTGAAACATATTTCAAGTTATAATTGGATTTTATATATATGAAAGATTGTGCAAAATGCTTGTGAAACAAAATATTTGAACGAATAGAATTTTAGTTTGTGTAAGAATATAGAAATTAAACTGGAAATATATTTATATTTTTTTTACTAATTATTTATATTCATAATTTCCAGTGCACAATCATGCTGGGTTCGAATGTAGGTCAAAATTGGTTTGAAAAATTCCAGCCCCTCGGCATTATCATCCCAGCGGCCTGACTGACTGACTGACGCCCAACAATCACATCGATTTATAGTAAATTCCTGGGACTGCACTTCAAAATCCCAGTCCGAATCTGATCCATTGCGATTAGTGGCGGGACTGACTTGATTTTTGTATTTTTTTGGGGTCGCCCCCTTCCATTTCGATTAGATTATTTTACGGTTGCATCAAGCTTAACCCCAGAAGGCACTTACCCGCGGAGCAGCCCACGATCAGTAGGAGTCCGGCAATTAGCAGCGATCGTCTGGACATCATTATTTATTTTCTTTATATATTTTATAAGTATGTTTTTTTATTTATTTATGGGGAGTGCACTCGTCGCCGGTCTGAGCCTAAGTAGATATCCAATATGCTGCGTTTTGGGCTTTTGTTCGATGCTGTTTCGAAATCTATGTCACAGCGCGACGATTGATTTCTGGTGACCTTTTCGATTTTTCGAAGAAATTATTGCCGCGTAATTATGTTGACGTTGGAGCGTTCCAATTTCCGGCCAGCACTGTCAGCACCTTTCTCCAGGGGGAATCGCTATTGTTATTGATTGGAAACTATTCTTCTGGATCTCGGACTTTATGGCCCGGATTATTCTACAGAGCGCGCACACACAAGATCACCGGGGGGGAAGATAGAATAGTATCTTTTTCAATTTCGATTCGAAATATAACCGTCTGTGCGGGGCAACGTCGGAAAGAGAAGTGAAGTGAACGCTGGATTTTAACACTAAATTGGTATAATGCTTGCAGCTGGCTCGTCGAAGAGAGCGGCTGAGTCCAAGAGAGAGCACAAGCCCAAGCAAAGAGCGGACTTAAGAGCGCATGTGGCGCGAAATAATTTTATTTAAAAACATTCTTTTCACAAAAGGGGTTGTATTTTTAGAAAGAAAGCATTTCCTGGCCGTAAATATGAATAAACGGATGTGGACCGCTGAAAGTGTGGATTGTGCCTAAAAAAAACTATGGTAATAGGTAAGGTAAGAGAATTCGTACTTTTTGCATACTGAAAATAAAGTTCTAGAAAATTTAAGAAAATATCTTAAAAAAAAAACTAATTTACTGAAATAAAATATATATATAAAAAAAAGAAATATTTTAAATGCAAAAATCTAATACATTTGAAAGATACATTTTTATTATATTGGAGAAGTATACAAAATATATTGAAATTTCAAAAATTTCATGAATTTATAAAGATTATTTATTAACGAATAATGTAAACATGATTTACATTTTTATAAATGATATTTTAGTTCTTATAAATTTGTCTTAATAAAAAAATATAGTTCTTCTTAATAAATAATGTATAACTTAATTTTATAAGTATTTTTATTTCTCAAGCAAAATTTATAGGTTTCTGTTTGTCTCAGCAATAAAAACTAGTTTTATCTCTTTCGAAATGGAAAACAATAATAATATGTAATTGAACTGGTTTCGCGAAAGCCCCAATTAATTAGCAATTAAGTAACGAAATGCAATTTAATTATTCCACATGCTTGCGCTAAATTCCAGCAATTGCTGAACAGCACATGTCCATGGATTCACCCCACTCTTAACCCCTTTTTCCCCCTTCAATTTTCTTGAAGAACACAACTTCAGTGGCAGCACAAGATTCGCGGAAATTTATTTGCATCCCCCGGAGACAATTTGCTTGATGCAATTGCGGCTTTTTCTCAGGCCTGCAATGAAGCCCGGCATGGGAAGCCGAAGCCGCAGCCGTGATTTCCTTGCGGCAACCGAGGGGTTAAGAAGGGAACACCCAATGGAGTAAAGCGGAGTGATGCAGAGTTCCTCCGCCGGCGACGTTTGTTTATTTGTCAGTGTCTGATGACGCCTACATCGCCTCAGATACGCGCTCCGAGATACAGATACTTGGCGCAACAGATGCAGTAACAATTTATGAGTGCGACAGCGTCCGCATTAAATGTATCTACATGCAACATTTGCACTGTACAAACAAACAAACAATTAAAATTAATCTACGAGCATGAAACAAAGTGCCTGGCATTATGCATTGCACAGATAGATCTCTTTGAGGCTCTTGTATTCGTTGCACTGAGGGAAAATATCTGCAAGGATCACTTAAATAAAAGTTAGTTAATTGATTTGATATCAAACTTATTCATATAGTTGTACTATGAACATATTATAAATGCAATAGAAAACAATAATCAAATATTAGAAATATTCTTAGAATTTTCTTAAAAGTCATTATTATAAAATGGATAAAATTAACTACATTTTACGCTAATTAAACGAAAAAAATTCAAAAAACGAAAGAAACTAATCAGAAGTTCTACAGATATTTTTGTTAATTTTAAATTATTAAAAAAGTATTAAAAAAAATATTTTACTTCACAAGCATCCTGGAATGTGTATCCGTTTATTAGGTATTTTAATTTGATTTATTTATTTTTATATTATTACTGATTTCCATCAGCTAAACTCTTAAAAAAGCTTATTTCCCCATTCTACCTTACAGCCCTTCCATTAAGGTGATATTTTTTCGAGTGTCCGTGGTAAGATGTTTGTGTTGTCTTCTGTTGGGTGCCAAGCTTGTAAACATCCGCAAATTTAGAACAATTCCAAGGGGCCTCTATTTCCACAGAGAAATGAGAATAGGCGTGGATATTAATCAAATATTTATATTTACCCACACCAAGACTAGCACACTCGCACTGGAACACGCACACACACGGGAATGCACACAGCGAGATTTCTGATGGCGACCGCGGTGCATTCGTTGAATTTCCAAGAATTCCATTCTTTTGAAAACAAATTAATCAAACAACAAGGGCGACAACAAAGCTAAAAGCCAGCAGAATGGAATCATAGAAGATGCTGACAGCATGAAAATTTCAGAATTTGAGTTAGAATCCCCAAAGAAAATTTAAATGTTCCAAGAGGCGCGCAGACGCAGACTCTGACGGACTCCCTGCATTGAATGTTTAAGAGAGAGCTTCCACTCGCGTCGAAGAGAGCGCTGGCAGCCAAGCCCAGTGTGGGGGAGTGTGAGAAGGAGGAGGAGGATGAGGGTTGGCTGCAGATTGCACCAACTGCAAGGGAATGCTGGAAAGTGGAATTGACCTAGGCGCTGTCCCGCTCTCGCTCGGGCTCCTTGCACCTCGTGCCTTGCATGCTAAATGGGAAATTAAGTTTCCTTCGCGGTACGATTCCGACACATTTCTGGATTTCCAATTGGGCACCACTCCTGCGAATGTGCTCTATGAGTCATCTGCTCTCCTTCGCCGCCTTCGGTTATTATGCTGGCTCTCTGCTTCTGCCCCATCTTTCCATTCCCCATGCCGATTCCCATGCGCAAGCAAATACAGTGGAACCGCTGGGGCAGCAAAATTCTAGCTCGGAAATCTAAAAAAGGTTTTTAGAAATATGAAAACAAAGCTTTAAAATTATATTTTTACTTGGCGTTTGTCAAGGAATTGGAATTTCTTACCAAGCCATAAAATCTTAGTAGAAAAATATCCTGGGAAAAGGATAACAATCTGATACAATTTAGATTTGGAAAAGAAAATAACACTTATTTTTCAATGTCTTACCTTTCCACCTTATTTAATAATATTTAACTCTTAAAATCTGTATTTAAATATCTCCATAAATACTCGCACTTCTTAACTGGCGAAAAGTATGCAATATTTTTGCAATTTGCATATCCTGCGTTTTGATCGGAAAATTAATCTAAAAAACTAAATACAGTTTTAGAGGTTTAGAATAGAATGTAAGCTTTTTCCTTACATTTACAGCTCCTTTCTCAAACCTAATCCAATATTCTCCCTCAATTTTTTCGCTTACCATCTCCGGTTCCTTGTAATCCCGCTCCACTGTACCTGGATATCCTCCGTCGGCGTTGGCAATCGCCGTTCTTATTTCCCACCGACAGTCCTCGACGAACAACAGAATCGAAAACGACACAGCCCACGCAAAGCCCGCAAAAAAAACAAAACATAAAAAACAACTCACGAAAAAACCTTAGCGACAAAAACAAAGTTCAGTGTCTCGGCAGCCGTTTATCCTCGAAGTTGGCCATAAGCGAACGCGAAAACAGGAAAGCATAAAGGATTTCAAACAGGGGATTTGCATACTTCTCAATCATAAATAAGCGACAAAAATGAGGCATCTCTGGCTGCTGCTCCTTATCGCCGGCGGATCTGTCCAGTTTCCAGGTAAAAATCGACTGCATCTCGGCATCTCTCCATCTCTCACATCTTTTGCCGCACAGAGAGTCCCATTAAAAAAAAAACAGTTCGGGCAACAAATTAATTTACATTCAATTCGTAATCTTTATGTGCTGTGGATTTTTGTTTCGGAAACATATGCGGGCTCTATAAAAAAGAGCACTCTTGAGGGGCTCAAGACGCAGACACTCTTCAGAGTCGTGGGCCACAATGAAATACTTGTAAATATCTTGTTTGTTTGCTGCCTCCTATTACCCACTCATGGCAGCTAATTTGCATAATCTGGAGATTATAATCCTGGGCGAAAACCTAGTCTAGTGCACTTGTGTTCGTGTCCTACGTACGGGTTGTTGCAGGCGCTCAGGCAATCGATGGATTACATTGCACTTGCCCCCGCTCTCCTCGGCTTTTCCGCTTTTCCGCTGACCCAATAATGGCAGCTTATGTTAAACCATTAAAGTATCATATGATACTCGGATTGCCTCATCACTATATTAATCCATAACTTTGGCACATCTGCAAAAAGTAGCGTGAATAAATAAATGATCAGGGTTGAATCATTGTGACAATTGTGAATTAATTAATAAGAATCCCCAGTGCTCATCGTCATCAATGGGTTTTGTGTTAAAAAAGAAATTAACTGATTCATGAATATAGTAAAAAAAAGCTTGAAATTCCGAGATAAATTTGCATATCGAAGAGATCACAAAAGTTAGTCATCTATTGACATTTTTTACGACTCTTTGGAATACAAATATACCAATAGCGAGAAGGTTTGTAATGTAATGGAACTTTTGGGAGGTATTATTCATCAGTACATATTGCTAAAATAATTAATTAAGAAATTTATAAAGCCAAAGAGGGACTTAATAATAAATTATCTTGTTAAAAGTAGGATTGATCAATGTTAAGCTAGCTGCCATATTGCAACTAGAACTGGTTGGAAATTTTAAAAGCAATCTAAGTTTTCTCTACTAAAATTAAAAACAAAGTCATTAAATAAATATATAACAGAAAAGGTAACCAACTGGTAATGCTTATATATCCTAAAAGATTAATATTTTAATTCAAGACATATTTATTGTATTGAATTCCCGTATTGCCTCATCACTCACATCAATAGGATGGTTAGGTATTCACCAGAGGTTGCATTTTCGCCATTCCCGCCACTGGAACCGGCTCCAAACTCCATAAAGCACTTGTCTGCCACCCAAAACTATCAAAGAAAAAGTGCTTCAAAGGGTCGCCAGTTTTATGGCAAAGTTTTCCTTAAACGCTGCCCGGGGTGTTATTAGCGGGAGGGGGGGCTGGGAGATGGAAATGGGTAGAGCGCGTGGGCTGGAAGATGGGCGGGAAGTGGAAGTGGTGTCGGGAAGAACGTGTGTCATTCATGGAATTGACGACAATTTGGTAACCACTTGTAAGCAGGGCTTGTCTTTCCTAACTCATGAGTATGCACTGGGAGAAAATACTGGGAAATCTTAATTACATAAATAGTAAATCTGAAGAAGAATTCGTTACCCTTATTTATAATTAGCAGATGACAGTATAAAAAATGTTATTAATTACAAGAAAAAAAACCAAAGGCCAGAGATCCAAATTAAATTTTAAAAACCTTGCATTTTTAATTGTTTCGATACTTAAATTTTATTTACTTAACATTTAAATACTACTATTCAGATACTGAATTTTATACATAATAATTTTATTAAATAAAAAATCAACACTTCCCTCTGTTTTTCTCTGTGCACTGGCATTGTTCAGTGCTTACAAATAGAGAAATTAGAGGAACAGTAAATGGAAAAAGGATGGAAGGGGGGAATGGGGTAGGGATGATCACATTGTTAAAAATATCAACTTGATTAAAGTGGCTCTTGAATAATTAAGCAACTGGGAGCGGGCCTGGGGAGCTGTGGTAGCCGAGCTGTCCGAATGGAGGAGAATATGGCGAGGTAATTGCCGCATCATGCGTGCGTTCCAGGGTTATTTCTGCGGCTTATCGATATTAATTATAATACTGAGAGGACAATGGAAGCGTGGGATTTCATGATGATGTTGATGGCGATGGGGTTGGGCATGTGAGTTGACAAGTTGCCCTTAACTTGTTGGGCTTTAACTTTCTATAAATATATACAGAGGAGAACTATACAGTAGGATGAACTGAACACAATTATAGAATTATAAAAATTTTTTAACATTTATTGATATATGATTATTTATAATATAATATAAAATAATATAAAACTTGTTTGCCAAATACAAGAATTACAAAAAATACAGTCAAAAACTCATATTTTGCAATACAAATTTGCTAAATACATAAGGAACTCTGTGAACTAATAATACCCCATCATAAAGCGAGACTTTTTATAGGTGCTTACCTGTTATTATTATCATTAATAGTTAATCTTTTAGATTATATCCCATTTCATCTTAATTTCTAATCAATTTCTGAGGCATACTTTCGGGCTCCTCACTTCTGGACACCCTGCAGAGCCACCGTTAATAAACTGAACTTGATCTACAGAGTTTTATGAGTCAAGAAGATTAAATCATCCCTCACTTTCCGCTGACCCGAATTTCGCTTTCCGGGCAAACACAAGAAGGGGACGGCTAGTAACTACGCCAAGGCTAAGAAAGGTGTCCCGACATGTCTGCCAATGTCTCCTCATTTTTCCTAACGAGAGTGTAAACAAAACTAATAACTTTGGCCCAAACACAAATATATACATACATATAAGCAGACACACACACACACACCCACGCCAAGGAGTACGGCATACCCATAAACATACGAATTATATATGGCAAATTGGCAATTTTCGCAGCCATTAAGCAATGCGCTAAACGTGCAAATGACGCAACCGAATGTACAACATCCTTGGGCCAAATACAAAACCAAATTCAAATCCAGATACATACATATACCCCCTGAAATATCGGTGAGTGAGTGTGTGTGTGTGTGTGTGCCTGCATATGCTGAGTAGTATTCCCGAAAAGAATGCCGTTCCGTGACCTGACCTCCAACCGGGAGTTGTACCCATCATATCACTCCAGAATGGGCGTTGACACGCTCCCTGGGAAAATGGAATAGGGGCTTGGCCCCGGCTATTCCGTATTCTCTCTCGTTAATGGTTTTATGCTGCTGCTGCCTTCTCGGGGGCCTTTGGGGCTTAGGCTGCGAAACTATCGCCAGACACGGAAATCTGGGAAGGCGATGGCACCTTCTGGAGTGCTTTTCAATGCATAATACAATGTGTGTCTGTGTGTGTTTGCCCGTCGGCTAATTACAATTTATTCCCAGGTGTGCTGACCTTGCCGGAGGCACTCCCAGCCAAATCTGGAGGCGGTGGCGGAGGAGGAGTCACTGCCCAAGCAGCCGGTGAGGCCAGCCCGGACTACGGTGAATACGAGGATGATGATTCGCAGCGAGCACCGGGAAATCTGGCCAAGTCCACGGCAGGTCCCAAGATTCCAGATCCTTACTTTGAGCAAAAGGAGGTGACCATCTATGTGGCTGCCAATGCCACCAGTGTCAAGCTGGAATGTCCTGTGAAGAATTACGATGGTGAGTCCCAGACAACAAAATCATCTCATAAAACTGAAGCATTACTGGTTTTACCTTTTTTCGAAAGCCGCCCACCATGTCATCCTCTGGTACAAGGACGGCGTTGTCGTCACCACCGGCAAAACCATAGTGAATAATATATACGGCCTGGACAACCAGTTCACCCTGACCGTGCCCCTGAACAGCTCCAATGGCACGGAGCAGCGATTTTCGTGCAGCGCCAATGCCTCGTCGGATATACGACACAAGGTGACCATCCGTTTTGGTCCAGAGCCAAGCACCCCGGCTCCATCTACAGTACCTGCAGCGGCTGTAACACCCTCACCCGCCAACGATTCGGCGCCCATAGGCCGGGACATTGGCCTCTTGCTGCTGGCATTGATCTTGGCTCCGCTCCAACTGTCAGTGTCCTCTGCCCTTTTCTGAAGCGGGCCAAGTTCAAGAGCCCTCTTAAAATCAGCACCACCGGCGGGGATGCGCACTGCAACAGATGAGCTTGACGAGGGATGCAGTCGAGGAGAAACGAGGCGAATTGATGGCTTTTGGCGTATTAAGTTAGGTGTTGCTTTGTTAATGTATAATATATATAGGAAACCCGATCTTTGCGGGGAAGCAAACTTCCTAGAGCTATAGAGATTATTTGAATTCCACTTCCAACTCTGCTTCCTCTACTTCCAAACTCGATAGCCATGTTTATAGACTCCGTTGAAGAGTAACTTGTACTTGAATTTAGAAACGCTATACGAATTAGCCTAGTGTGATTGCTTTAGTCGTGCGCTTAATGAATCGACAGATTAGTACATAATTGATTTTAACTTAGCGGAACAAAATGCGATAACAAGTGGCTTAACGAATCATTGTGAGGGATACTTACCATATACTATATATGAACGGATTTGAGCAGTGTATGTAATTTTGTCGAATGTAAAACTGAAACAGAAATAAACTAGAGCTGCTATAGACCCAGCTGAAACCATTCAATGAAATCCACCCCTATATGCAGGCGGCGGGTCGGGCCAGGATTCCCTGGCGCATGGGGAAACACACAAACACACAAACACACACACACGACACACGCGCGCAAGAGGGACAACAAAGCGCTGTGTCCTGCTGTATCCTGCAGCTGCAACGTCGGCGGAGGCGGAGGAATTCCGCAATATGTGTAGGGCCTGCCAGCCATATGGCGGCTCCTAAGGGTGGTGTGGTGAATGGTGGTGGCGGTGGCACAAGCCCCAGGCGAGAATTTCACTCAGTCGTCGGCTAAACAGCGATCAGGACACACACATCTAGTCAGCGGAAGAAATCAGCGCCCAGCACAGCCAAGGTAAGTTCAATCTGTTCAGGAATACTATAGCAAGCCTAAACTTAGCTCTCCTCGTCTTAGATGATACCGCAAAGTGAGGGTCCCGCTTTATTCGAAGATTCCTACGCTGGGGAGCCCCATTTCTCAGAAGACTCTGCCTGTGGCCAGAGTCGTTGTGGCAAAACCCAGACAGCCCTGGAGGTCTACCAAAGAATACTCCAGCGCCTCGAGAGGCAAGAAGACACCACAAAAGCCCATCAAAACGATCTAAAGAGACAAATTTGGATTGCTAGCTTTACTGGAGGAACCATACAATATCATTGTTAAAGATCTCAAAGATACCGAAACTAGTTAAATAAAAATATTGCTATCTTTACAATTTTATAATTTTTTTTCATTATAAGTAGGCTTTGGATCCTTCTGCTGTTGTGTCAACTATGCTTTGACCTAGCAGAACATCATTCGTAATTCAGTTTCAATACAGTAAACATCAAAATCTCCAGTAACATTTTACAAATACTTTTCAGTTTAGTAAACAAAAAATTTTTAAGTGTGAAATTTTACATTGACAATATGGTGAATATGGTGAGTGAAACTACAAACAACCATTATGGTTAATGTACAAATATCTAAAAACCTAGAGAATTTTCTTTATTTAAGTTATATTTAAAATATTTCAAAGTTTTTAGCTTATTTCCTTACATTATTCAGAGGAAAAAACGTGTAAAGCTTTTACTAATCGATTTTAACTAATGATTTAAACCAGGATAAGGCCTGCAGAAAGCCGAAACGGAAGTCGGCTTGCAACAAAAGGATGGCACGTAAAAAATGCAGCAAACCGGGACCTGTTACTAATAATGGTTACTTGAATTTCCTTCGAGCTTTTCGAAAGAAAAACTGTGGCCTTATGCCGAGGGAGCTTGTCTCGAAGGCAGCCCGAGCTTGGAACTGCCTGCCCGAACATATAAAGGATAGATACCGCCGCCTAGTAAGTTCTACCTTTCCCTAAGAAAGGGTTTTTTCTGACGAAACTTTCTCCACAGGCTTGCAAAATTACTACTAGCCCTAAACACAAGGCACGCCCAATTTGTCAGAAAATGAATGGAGGGAATCAATGTTAATAGGTTTAACATATGTAAGTCGAATTTCCATAAAATGAGCTTAAAAATTAAATATTTTTCCTCCACAGACTGACGCTCCTCGAAACTCTTTTTAAACAAAAGCCCTCTAGAGCCTCCTTTTAAGCATCCACTTCCTGAACTTTCGATATATTTAACAAATTGTATTGTTTATTTAGTTAATTTTGATAAAGCAAAATAGTTTTGGCAACTCGTGTCTTTAATTATAAAGTATAACAAGAAAGTAAAGCATCTTCGGCAAAGTAGGGGTTAACAGTAAAAATATTCTTAATCAGCGTTGACAGGCGTATTGATTTAGCCACGTCAATCTATTAAAAAGAACACCACGCATAATCTTACCACGTTAGACAGGGGATATCCCTGATATGCATCTTATAGGTCCCCCAGGCTAGAGGTCCCTAAACATTATCCATAACTGAGCCGATTAGAGTAAGCGGTCAATAAATATGCTAGAAACTACATTCCGTAAGAGAAAAACAAATGCGAAGTATTTTTTTTTTTGTTCACATTTATTAACATATCATTTTGTTGGTAATATTTTATAGAAAAGGTTACTTACCCATCTGTTAGTTCTGGCAAATAATAAAAAAAAAGAGTACAAATAAGAATTAATATTTGAATAGCATGAGCTTTAATAGTTTATTGTATTTTCTTTATTTCTTGTTTATAAATTCATAATGTTTTATTAACTTAGTTTTAAAACGCCTTTTAATGTTTTTGATTTCCAAAATGGACTCTTAATCATCTGGAGTTATTCGGTTTCAATTGAACAATGTGATTATTCCATTCGGTATTTATTTATTTCACAGAGATATCTTGCTTCTACTGCTAGGTGACATGAGTATAAATAAGTATGGGCAGGATGGGGTTATTCAATTGAACCGATTATAATTGGCTCTGCTTGGACAGTGATTATTTAATTCTTTTATTTCATCAAGAATAGTGAATAATTAAAAACTCAATCATCAATCACTATTATGACAGTAATTGTAGTATATATTGGACTTATGACCTGATGGCGTGGACGCCAACAGTTCAGATTGGTTTATGGAAATTATAAATTAAGGATTAAAGTTATATTCTTTCGATTTTATAGCGTGAGAACGCATTATTACATTATTCATTCATAGAATTACTTCAAATTTAACGTTTCTTCTTGTGAGAATTACTTCAAAATTAACGTTTCTTCTTGTTAGGCCAAGATTCTTTTATGGATTTATTATGTGTAATATTGTTCTCAGCAGGGCTTTTTTTATAATCATAAACATCGTCCTTTGTTATCGTTTATAGCGGTATGCGGTGGAATCAACCGGAGCCGCGATCGGTGCAGCTCGCTACTATTATTTATATTTTTTGAGTATGGAATACGGATTGGGCTTATAGGACTTGATGGGCGGTTCGCGCATACGTTTCATGTCAGGATATGGTCGTTTATATGCCGCTGCGTTTGCTGATATTATTGATGGACGTGCTATAAAATTTGTTCATTATTATTTTTAGTCAGTTATTATTTAAAAAAGTTTATCGATCATTAGAATAAAGATATTTTAGTTTATTTTGAAAATTTTTCTAGTAAATTATGTTATTTGCATTGAGAAGCATTTCTCGTTCATTCACTGGTTCTGTGTTGCTACAATCTATCCCAAGGAAACCCATTCAAAGTGCTGTGCCCCATAAATAAATGGAGTGAATGCAATGAGGATGGAAAGAAGGGATCTAATAGATATAATTATATATGTAGATCTAAGGCTGAAAAAATGTAGCTAGAGGGCAAAAAATCATGCTTGGTCATGCCACTTACGTTTGCTGTACTCATAGCCCGTGGGTGCGCGCTTGGGGGGCAAACGGTGCTCGTATTCGTAGGCCGCCTCCTCCGCCTCGTCAACTCTATAAACAACAACCATGTCAGTGAATATGTCAAGGCAAGTTGGCTATAAGGATTAAGTCTCTTTTCAGACGCGTCAACTCTTTGGTCATGTTATCCCGGTGGGTGCATGTAAATTATACAAAATTATACTTTACAAGTAACTTACTCAGGCGGATTTTCCGCAGCTCTCTTGATCAAATTGATGAACTTGGGGGCTCCGTTGCTGCTGCCACCGAACTTTTTATCAAATACGGATCTGTAAAATAACAATAAGCAATAAAACTACATGATTTTATAAGATCGAGGATGTCTCCGTCTTACCTGTAAGCCTCTAAATTGGGTCCATGTATGTTCTTGGCCGACTCGGGATCCATTTCCATCAACTCGCGCAGCTGCTCGTGTGACACTTCGTCGTTCTTGTCTGGAATTAGATACTTACGAATCTCGGCAAGGGCATAAGCAATGCGAGCATAGCACTCGGCCGGCGTGGCCACAGTGCTGACCTCCAGAAAGAGGTCCTTCTGCAAGTGGGCATATCGCGGATCACCACAGTTGCGCAACTGCTCCTCCTTGGCCCGATCACGGATCGAGGTGCGACCCTTGATGGCGATCTTGCACTGAGTCTCATCCTGCAGGCGACGCAGGGAGTTGCCTTTGGGGCCCAGAATCTTGCCAGTGAAGTTGAACTGCAGCAACATATCGGAATTATTAATGGGTAACTGCAGATTCGCGGCTTGTAACTCACCTTCGGGTACTGCTTGACAGGCACAAAGACCTTCTGGGTTATCTTCATGGGCTTCTGCTTGTAGACATCGGCATAGAATTCTTTGCCCGGAATGCGGCCAGTGCAGTAAACGCGATCCACAGCTGCAAAAAAGGATGTTTTACTTACTTTCTTATAAGATTCTTTGGATCAAGATTTACCTTCGTCGATTAGCAATGCGCAAAGAGGGAACTCGGCGGACAGACGCTGGCGCTCCTCGTCCAGATCCGCCAAGAACTTCTGGGCCACCTCATTAAGACGCGGCTGATGATCGTGGGTAACTGGTTTTTCAGTAAACTCTGCAGTTCCTTCCATTTTAAGCGCTAATTTTTTCTTTCAATCTCACGAAATTTGGAAAACTGTATGTATAATAGTGCAAAGTTGTCAGTAGGGTTGCCAGTCGCGTTCAAAGCCAGGGATGGAAAACTACACGCTTACAACGATTTGTGTTATTTGTAGTTGAATACAAATATTATTGATATCCTTAAAAAAAAAGTAATATACAAGTTTTTTATAAAGAATATGTTTTATTTAGTTCCCTGATAAAAATAAACTTTCGCGGCTCTGCCAGGGTTACGCTAAACAGAGTTGCCAAGTCATTGAACTATCGATACTTTTCGCGGCTTTCTGGCTGCTCATCTCTAAAGCGTGGAATTTACATTTATTTTGTTCGCAATAAACAATGGCGAGCGAAGACCTTTTCCAGCATGAATTCTCCGAAGAACAAGACTTGGAGCTCGGGCAAGTCATGGAGACGGAGGCAGTGGAGCAAGTGGAAGCTGATGAGCCCACCGAAGTGATAGAGGATTCGGAAGAGAATCCCCCAAAGGAAGCTGCCACCGAAAAGGCTACAGACAAGCCGGGTGAGTTCTGTTTACCATTAAATAAAGTTTAAATCATAATTGCCGATCTTAAACAGTAACAAATGGGGAGAAAACAAGCCCTGAACACGAGGCCAAGATGACACAACTGCCAATGGCTCGCATACGGAACATAATGAAGCTGGATCCGGATATGCAAGTTGCCAACAATGAGGCTGTGTTTGCAGTGACCAGAGCCGTGGAACTTTTCGTTGCCTCATTGGCCAGGGAATCCTATACGTACACCGTCCAGTCCAAGAAGAAAACCATTCAAAAGCGGGACGTGGAAATGGCCATATCGGCTGTGGACAGCCTGTTGTTCCTAGATGGAGCCATGAACTTTTGAACCAACTCTAAATTAAGTTATATCCATAAACACCCCGAGTAAAACACGATTATTTCATAATTGTATTTATTTGGGGATACTTTTGCTGGAAACATGTTCTGTTGTATTCAGCCTAATGATTTAAAATTAAAAATAATATTTAAGTTGTAAAACAATGGTCGACTCACAAAAACAAACAAATTAAAAGAAATAATCATAAGCGACAACGTTGGACGTTTCACAATACTCTTTTTTTTTTTAATCGTGGGAATTGTAACGAAGCCGGGAATTTGTTTAATTTGTAGTTGAACTGCTGCTGAATCGTGTTTGCAATACTTACTTTGTCGTCGTTGGGCATATATCTGTGATTTCTTTATGTTTTATTGTTGGTTTTATCTCCATAATCATATGAAACAATATTTCCAAAGCTTAGACTAACATTACGCATTGATTAATTAATTGTTTTGGGGATTTTCGTTTGTGTTTTTTGTTCTCTTTCGTATTTGTTTTTAGGATTTGTTTGTTTTTCTTTCTCTTTTTTTTATACAATGATTTCGAGGATAAAGTTTGTTGTATTGATGATTATTTCATTTAAACACAATTTGAATATTTGGATAACAATTGAAATAGAAACTTAGGTTTGCATTTGATTTTTTGTTTTATTTTTATAGATAGTATATTTAATAGGTGTGCATAGGTTGGATTTGTTGACTTTAAACATTTTTCGATAATTTGTTTTCAATATAGTTTTATTCTTTAGGCTTAACTTTGATTAGTTATGGTTGTTGTTGTTGTTGTTGTAGTTGTTGTTGGGGTTAGAGTTGGGGGGTTTCTTGGGATATTGGTAAATCGATGGGTTAACGTATTTTCGGATATGGAGCCGAGCGATAACGCACGCTTTCACGAGATCGGGATCCAGTTTCGTAGTGAGCAGATGAATGTGATCCCGAGCCCGAGGTGGTTGGTCGATATGACGATGATGAACGACCGTTGCTTGGTTTTGCTATTTTGAAAAGAATTTTATTTGTTGTTTAGATTTAAAAATTGTTTTTGTCTCTGGTGCTTTTTTTTTTTTGTTTTGTAATTATTATTTTTTGTTTTTTTTTGTTTTCTGTTGCTTAGCATATTTAATATATACATTGTGAAAAAAGAAAATAAATTGTTTAACCGGTTTTGAATGCACTACACCCTACGAAAAGTTGTACTATTTTTATTTTCACATTTCAAATATTAAAAAAAATATATATATTGCACAAACTTTGCATCAATTTGTGTTGTCTGAATATTGATTTATCACAGTTGGGATTTTAGTTGTACGAATATTTATTGGGGTTTCTTTTTTTGGATGAAGTTTCATGAATTGGTTTTGGCAAAGGTGTGAGTTGAAATAATTTGATTGTTTTGTCGATTATTTTTTGCTCTTGCTTCTTGCTTGTGGGCTTGTTAGTAGTCGTCCAATTAATGAAGATGATTTAATATTTGTGGCTGTTCAGTTTAGTTTTAGTTGATCTCGCCTCTGTTCAGGCATAGTGCATTTAAAATCTCGTTAAAGTGGGATGGGTTGCCGTCCGTTTATCATAATTTTGGTACGCGGTTTCATGGCGGTTTCTGTTTTTAGGCATTTTCAATTTCGTCGCTTAGTTGAATATAGAAATATTGTATTTTTTTCGATTTGCGTTTAATTTTTCTTCTTGTTTCGCGTTGAGTTGAGTTTAAACGATTTATTTGCTATTTTTCTTTTTTTGTTTTGTTATTTTTTTTTACATTCCTGCTGAGGGATAGAGATTAATTTATGTAAAACGCTGGATAGCTTACCTGAATAGGCCGCTGCATAGGAAGAGGAGGACGAGTGGGGGTGGTACTCACGCCGGTAGTCGCGCTCATAGGAGCTGCTGTCGTACTGGGCGTGGTGGCTCGAGTGCTTCGATGTCTGTGGCGGCGGTGTGGCATAGCGATCGTATTCTCCATGATGGTCGTACAGCTCGTGGTCCCGGGATCTACTGGAATGATATTTGATATTTTAGAGTGAAAGAGTGCTCTCGGAATCTGAACCTTTGTTTGCCCTAGCAGAGAAATTGTTTTCTTTCTAAGAATTCAAGTATTTAGACACCATGCATGACGGATGAAAGGATGATATTAACTCAATGTCTTCTGCGAGGGCAATTGAAAGGATCTATTAGCTTATCCAACCTGTGCGTCTTAACGATGCCATAGTTGGGATCGTCCATCACATATCGTGCCTTCTCCAGAATAGAATATACTTTGGGCTTGGAGGAAGCAGGAGGTGGAGTGCTGTGACGAGACGAAATCCTCAGTAACCAAATAAAAAAATTCGCTCAGAAAATAGACGATCTTACCGAGAACTGTAGGCGCCGTGTTCGCCGTAGGACTTGGAATAGTGGTGAGACTTCTTGTACATGCGCTCCTTGCCGTCCATCTCGCGCAGCTGCTCCAGGCGAATGTCGTCGTTCGCATCGGGGATCATGAACTTGCGGATCTCGCCCAGCGCATAGCTGATCCTGTGATAGGCCTCCGCCGGGGGAGCTACCGTCGATATCTCTACATGCAGGTCCCGGCTGAGATGCGCATACTTGGGATTGCCCGAGCTGCGCAGCTCCTCCTCCTTGCCGTGGTCGCGCATCGAGTTGCGACCCATCACCACCATTTTGCACATCGTTTCCTCCTGCAGCTGGCGCAGTGTATTGCCCTTGGGACCCAGAATCTTGCCCACGAAGTTGAACTTGGGGTACTCTTTGATGGGGAACAGCACCTTCTGTGCCACGCGAATGGGCTTCTCACTGTACACGTTGGCATAGATCTCGGGCTTGGGTATGCGACCGCTAACCAAGATCTTCTCGACCTCTGCGAGCGGGCAAAATCGATTAGATCCGGGGTGTCTTACGTGTCCGAGGGGAAAACTCACCGTCATCGAGCAGGCGCTTGGTGATTATGTGTTTCTTCTCGAGCGTCTTCTTCTCCAGAAGGCACTCTTGCAGGTACGCGTTCGTCTTCTCGTTCAATTGGGGCGTGTCCCGGAGGGCGGCATGGCTGGTGTTGTGACCGCCGCCATCCGCCTCGGGAGTCTCCGGAGCACCGGTCGCCGCTGGCTCCTCGTCGCGTCGCTTCCGCTTGTAGTCTGCGGCGTCCTCATTGTAGTCCCTGTCGTAGTCGCGCGGCATGCCTGTGTTGCGTATAGTGTCCGGAAGTAGAAATTTGCAGAAACGTCCCACTGTTAGGAAAAAAATTCTTTGCGAAGTAGCTGCTGAAAAATATGTATGTGGTAGCCAGTTAGAGGTGGAGAAACACCAGTGCCAACAGGGGTGTAATCGATATTTATCAAGTATCGCCACATCGATTTTTCTCCATCCCTAGCCAGAAATAGCTATATTTAACCGATATTTTCAATTAAAGGGAATAACCTGATTAAAAATAAAATTGAAATAATATTCAGGATTTATTTTTCATGTGACATATTTGGCAAACAAGATTTTGTGCGACATATCGCGATGCACCGCAATAGTTCGACTTTTAAAGTCGATGGAGCAACCGTTCCGTAAGGTAGCAGGCCTTGGAAATATTGAATGTCAGTTCCGACTTAAACTACGACCACATCTTTCAAGAATTAAAAAAAAGAAGAAATTACTAAAAAAAAAACGTAATTTATTATTAAAAAAACGTATTTGGCTTGAAAACTGTTAAGTGCTGTGTTCCATCGCTGGCGCTATCGATTACGCGGCCGCCCACGATTGCGCGTAACAGCACGCTGTCGAAGCACGAGAGCCATCCCAAGAGCCCGGAGTTGCCATACCGCGCCGCTAACATAGTAAAATATACGAATAAAATACACACTTGGAAAAGAGAGAAAAATTAGGGCCACTGGGAAGGCTGAAAGTCGCACACTTGGCAAGCTAATCGAATCGACTGCAATCGCGACCCCACTGTTCGCAAACGGAAAACACGCGACTCGGCACCTGAGCGACCCAAAGTCAGGACAAATGGCGGAAAACGGAATGCGTGTGCCAGGGTCATCCGCCGTAGTGGTGGCGGCGGCGGCGGCTTCCTCGGCGCCCGGAGCTGTGGCGACGGGCAGCAGCGGCACCAGCAACGGGGAGCACGAGACCGAACACAATGCCAATGCGGATGGCGAGAGGGGCCAGCCCGCGCCGGCGATCCAAAAGTACATGCAGGAGCTCATGACGGAGAGGTCGCGCATGGAGAATCACTTCCCCCTGGCGGTGAAGCTGATTGACGAAGGTAATTGATTCGATCCGGTGACCTGTTATCTCAAAGTGACCACGTTTTGCTCTGATCACAGCCCTAGAGCGGGTGCAGCTGAACGGACGCATCCCCACGAGAGACCAGTACGCCGATGTGTACCAGCAGCGTACCATCAAGCTGTCGCAGAAGGTTCACGTGCCCATCAAGGACAAGAAGTTCAACTATGTGGGCAAGCTGCTTGGCCCCAAGGGCAACTCGCTGCGTCGCCTCCAGGAGGAGACGCAGTGCAAGATTGTCATACTCGGTCGCTTCTCGATGAAGGACCGCGCCCGCGAGGAGGAGCTGCGCAACTCTGCAGACGCCAAATACGCCCACCTGAATCTTCCGCTGCACGTTGAGGTGTCCACCATTGCCCCGCCAGCCGAGGCGTACGCCCGTGTGGCCTACGCCCTGGCCGAGATCCGGCGCTACCTCACACCGGACAAGCACGACGATATCCGCCAGGAGCAGTACAGGGAGCTCATGGAGGACCCGGAGGCGGCCAAGAAGCTGACGCTTCGCCAGCTGCAGCAGCAGTCGAATGCAGCTGCCAACGCTGGCGGCGGCGGCGGCGTCGGAGGAGGTGGTGGCGGTGGCAATGCTGGTGGTGGGAACGGAGGAAATGGAGGAGCGGCTGGACCCGGCGGCAACAATGGCAATGCCAACCAGCGCTCCGGCGGCAACTACAGGTGGGTTCAAGATCTATGGCCTCTAAAGGTTGATGGATTAATTAATTTCTATGATTCTCCGGCAGACAAAAGTTTCAGCAACAATCGCACTATCGCCACAACGAGGAGACTGTCTACTTTCGCTCACACAACAACGCCTACCACCAGCCAAAACCCTATGTGCCAGGTGAGTACGCAGAGGGAGCCTCATTCAGCACAGGTTCTTCATAGATTATAATTGCATTCCGTCGTTCTCGTAGCCGCCCAACGGGGCAATGCCATGCACACCACCTTGCCACCACAGGCCATTGTGCGAGCCTCGCCACCTGGAATGGTTGTCAGTGCGGCCAGTTTCAATGGACGGAATGCCGGGATGGGCAATGCCGGCGGCGGGATTATGGCCAACAGCATCGTGGCCACCACTGGTGGTGGCATCGGCGGCGCTGTGCCGCCCAACATGCGCTACCGTCCCGCTGCCCCCTATCAGTTTGTCAAGAAATAATACAGATGGGAGGATGTACCGCCCGCTGCCGTTCGCTGTTTGTTCAACTATTCCTCACCACCATTAATGTCGCATCCGGAAGGATTCACGCTCATCCGTCACACCCATCCCACATGCACACAGCCACAGCAGGCCCGGCTCTAGCCCCAGCCCCAGTCCCGCCCGCATCCACATCCACCCACCCCACACACTGCTCCAAAGGTAGATGTAGCCACAATGAGAACATTGGAAACTTGTCATGCATTAATTTCACCAGGATTTCGGCAGAAAGGAAACCGAAAACGAAACGAATGAGTAAATGTATGTTTAAGAAACTAGCCTAAGTAGACGAATGCTCTGAGGAAGAGACGAACACCTCAACCTTCTCAACATGAACAACAACAACAAGAACACCACCCAACACCCAAACAACAAGCAAGGACCCACCCAACCCAACACACACGCGCACACATGCAAGCACTCCTCCTCCGAGGCGAGGATCTGAGAACCTGGGAACCTTTGAATCTGAGTGTGTTGAGCTCTGCGAGCATTTGGAAGAAGAAATAGGAAGAATAGAGAGGAAAAGAAGTCGGGAAATCGAATTCAGGGATGGTCCCAGTCAAGCCAGAAGTCCTTGTTTTGTTTTATCGTATTTTATTACATTATTAACACTATTATCCTACGTTTCATTGACTTTTAGTTTATATCACAGAATATATCTCCATTTATGTATACACCTGTACGTATGTATCCCCCGCCCGCCGCAGTGGCAGTCGCTTAATCCTTTTGCTTTCTTCATCTCCCGCTCTCCCATTTCCCACTTTCTCCCATTTTTGTTTAAATCCATTTTTCACACTTACGTACATGCATACATATTTATGTTTACGTTTTTTTCGAAGAGGAGGCTTTTTTATTTTTACGTTGTTACGTTGCCTGGACAAAGAAACCAACTACAGATGAATATTGATATAAAATATATATATAAACACAAGTATATGTAAAAGCGGTATGATTTATATTACACATAGTGCGTATATGCAACACACCCACACCATCACACACACACGCGTACGTACATACATATATTCAAGCATCAGCATATTCACTTAAAAAACAAAAACAAACCAAATGAACATTAGAGACGCAAAAGAGAATCTACAAAACAAACAAGCATACATATATCGATTTTCGGTTAATAATAATAACGGAAAGGACAAAGCAACATCCAGAGTCCGGACAGAGAATAATAAGCAAACACATGCATACATACATACATAATTGTTATTGTTGTTGAAAGCAACTAAAATTGTAATAGAAATTATGCAAATATACATACGAATATGACGACAAATGTTAATTGCAGCTTAGTTATTATTTTGTTCAAAACAGACACACACACACAATAACACTGGAAACCAAAACTAAGATAGTCCTCTGCCAGGTGGAACTTGACAAGATGGTCTGATAAGATGATAAACATTTACTGAGACAAGTCCTAGAAGGATATAGCAAGCGAACGACTGAACAGAACGATGAGACCACCTTGTTAACTTCCACCTACCCTGCAGATCCCAGTGGAGATTCAGTTAGAGATGCTTCTGAAGCATCCCAGACACCCGAAACACACACACTACATCCTGTACGAAACATTATATATTATTATATTGCTAATTATCGTTGAATAAATTTCCAATTTGTGAAATAAATATACACATAAGCCGAGGCAAACATTGAAATAACCAAAGCAAATCCGTTTATGATTTTCTGTTCGTTTTGCAATAAAAACAGTCATCTGTTCTGTGTTTAACAAATCATCATTTAACTTTATTGGCTAACAAATACAGGATACAGGGACACACTACAGGGCCCTCACCAGCTGCATAAGGGAGTAGGGGTTCTTGTTGCTCATGAACTTGAGCTGCTCCTCGAAGCCCTGGGGCGTCTTGTTGATCCAATGCCTGTCGAGATAGTAGTTGATGTAGCTGTGGAACTCCTTGTCCGTGTAGTTGTCCACATGGACCGGCACGAAGGGATCCAGGTGCTCGAATCCAGCCTGGCCGAGCAGATAGCGCGGCATATAGGAGTCCATGTAGCCCTCGGTCATGGCGATCTTGTCCACGGACAGGATGCACACCCCGTTGGTCCAGTCGTAGTTGGTGATGTCCAGGAAGGGCTGGGTGAGCGTTATCCTGTCCGGAGTAACGCGCTGCTTGTTGTCCGAGAAAATGCGGGTAATCGGATGGAAGAAGGCATTGAATCCGTCGATGGCCACCATCACCTTGCACTGGCCGGCGGTGGAGAGCTGTTTGAGCTCAGAGATAAGGGCCGCTGTCGTCTCCGAGGCGTACTTAATCCTCGCTATTCCGTGCTCCACCAGCTCGAGTAAGGGGGAGCCCGCCGGCGTGCTCTCACGCTTGCTCCAAACGTACTCCTTGCCGGTCTTCAGCTGGAGTCGCTGCAGGAGCTTTCCGTTCTGGTTCTTGAAGTGCACCAGCCAGGCGGCCGCGTCAAAGGGCAGATCGATCATGCCCTCCTGACCGGCGGCATTGGACGCCTCCTTGGGTCTTTTCATCCAGTTTGGAGCCCAGGGCACGTGCACCAGCAGGAAGTCGTTGAGGGCTCCGTAGTGCAGCACATGGGCCATGGTCAGGGTTTTGCCAGTTCCATTCTCGCCATATAACACATAACGCACCACTGGCTTCGTCAGGTCTGCGCCTTTGATGTACTCCAGTAGTTCCAGGGCAGGATTCCGGACCATCAGACAGGCCTCGGTGAAGGTCTTGATCTGCAGCTCGTACTGCTTGGGCAGGCCGCCGCCGGTGAAAATCTGTTTCTTCTGCTCCGCGGGAATTGTGTAGAACTTGGCCAACTGCAGCGCCGAATGCTCGCCGGGATTGGCCACCGCGGTGCGAAACTCATTTATGGTTGCGCCCTCGGCAGGAGCAACCGCCGCACTCGTAGCCATCTGCTGGACATGGCGCTGCAGCTGGACGGAGACGCGCGACAGGTTCCCAAAGCGGTTTCGGATCATTTTCATTGAGAAATCCTCGAATTGTTGTTAAATAAGACCTAAAACCTGCGGTCCGAGCACATATGGTGGCTATCGGGAATCGGCGGATATCGATAGCAGGCCAGGGATGAAGAATCATTTCTTGTTTATTTTAATTATTTATTAATAATTCTTACAAGTTTTTTTTTGAGGTTTTCAATGTTACTTACGTTAGTTACATTAATTAAAATCTAATTAGAATGAATTTAATAACCGATATAAATGTATCGATAACTGCCTGTTGCTATAAGCTAAGTTGCATCCCTGGAGGCGGCAAAACTGCGTCCTGGTGAAATTGCGAATTTTTTTTTAAGTTAACTTGGACTGAAACGCCAAGATGTCATCCTTCGACAAGTTATCCATTCAAGGAGTGCGCAGCTTCGGCTCGAATGCCGAGGATCTACAGGTGAGATAAGTCCCAATTTTAAGCCCGACTTCTAGCCCCGCTCTTCGCCCTGCAGAGCATTACGTTTTCATCGCCGGTTACCCTGATTCTGGGCGAGAATGGGTGTGGTAAGACGACCGTAATCGAGTGCCTGAAGTACGCCCTGACTGGCGAGTGTCCACCGGGAAGCGATCGTGGCAGGAGCTTTGTGCACGACCCCAAAATCTTTGGGCTGAGCGAGTCCTTGGCACAGATCAAGATGCAGGTGCGCGACAAGCGTGGCGCCCAGGTCTCCATCTGCCGGACGATGAAGGTGTCCAACAAGCGCGGCAAGGCGACCTTTGAGACGCTGGACTCCACCATCAACTTCCTGACCGGCGCCGGGCAATCGAAGCGTGACAACCAGGACTCCCATAGCGGCCGCACCATGGACATCGATCTGGCTATCTCGGATTTCATGGGTGTGTCCAAGGCCATCATAAACAATGTCCTGCTGTGCCATCAAGAGGACTCCAGTTGGCCCTTGGACGAGGCCAAGAAGTTGAAGGAGAAGTTCGATGCTATTTTCGGCATCACGGAGTATAATAAGGCCCTGGATAAGATCATCAAGCTGCGCAAGGAAGCCATGGACGAGCTGAAGGTGATGGGTGAGTCCGAATCTTGGCAATTAGTAACGAAACTGCATTAACCACATTCCTCTGCAGAGGCTAACATGAAGCATGTGGCATATCTAAAGCAGGAAATGGAGGCAAGAACACTGGCCCTGCAGAAGGCCCAGCAAAAGTGCGACTCCATCAAGGCGCAGTGCAGCGAATGCGAGGAGGAAATGAAGCCTATCGAGGCTAGACTCCTGGAAATCCGGAACATAGAATTTGAGGTGGGCAAATACCAAGCGCAGAAGGTGGAAATGGAAACCAAGTAAGTAATAAAAGGTTCCCTTTGCTGTCATAAACTAACTCTCAACTTCATGGCAGGCATAAGAACTGCAAGGAGCAGATCTCCACTATAACCAGAAAAATCAAGACGCCATTTAATGGCTCCATGGCTGAACTGGATGTTGAGATCAATAATTTCGATCAGCGTATGAGGGAGATGAGGGACCAGCGCACAGAGACCGAGCAGGAACTCTCTCAGCTAAAGAAATCCAGCGCCAGCGGACAGGAGAAGCTGGGCATGCACGACAAGAAGCGATGCCTGGCCAAGCAGCGGCACCAGAGCGAGCAGGCTTGCCGGGCACAGCTGCTGAAGCGGGTCAAGAACTTTTGCCGGGAGCTACAGATCCCCATTGATGGCGAGCTCTCGGAGCAGCCCGAGAAACTGCTGGAGGTGCTGCAAGATATCGAAGCGGTTCTCATGAGCAAGCACTGCGAAATCACAGAGATCGGCGAGCGGAACGACAAGGCCGACCAGGAGAGGCAGGCCAAGATCGACGAGCTGCGTATTGAGCTGACCAAATCGGAGCAGGGCGTGACAGACAAGGAGAAGCAGCATGAGCTCAACAAACGCGAGAGCGAGAAACTTGAGGTGGATATCCAAAAAATCGAAGCCTCAATGCACGAGCTGAAAAAGCTGGAGAAGAAAATAGCTGAGGCTAACGAGCTCTACGAGAACACGATGAAAAATGTGGACCAGCAAGCCATGCGAGAGGCCATTACCGCCAGGAAGACCAGCATTGCCGAGAAGCAGGCGCAGTTTAAGAAGCTGGACGAGCAGCTCACCTTTCTGGGCTCCATGGCCAAACTGGTGGCCGAGATAAGTCTCAAGCAGAAGGATCTTGAAAAGAAGAACCAGGAAGTCCATCGGGTACGCAGTCGCCACGCGGAGAACTTTGGCAAGTTCTTCAAGGATCCAATATCTAGCAACTATCGCAGGTCGATGCAGGGGGCCTACGACAAGCTGCGTCGCGAGATCCAGGATCTCAACGAGCAGGCCAACGCGCAGAAGCTCAAAGAGCAGTCCTATGAGATCAAGCGCAAGAACCTTATCGACGACATAGCGCGTATGGAAAAGGAACTAAAGGATAGCGAAGAGCTGGTATTCCAAAAGTGTCGCTCAACTCCGTACGAGGACCTAGTGGAGCGCAGCAAGACGGCCATTTCCAAGCTGCAGTTCGACCATGGGGCCCTCAAGTCCGCCGAGGCCTTGTACAAGAAGTACGCTTTAGGATAATAGGGACTTTGTAAAGCTATTATTACATTCTATATTTTCCTAGGTATATACAGAAAATCGAAGAGGAGCCTAGCTGCCCTTTGTGTCATCATAATATGTCTGGCGATGAGGCGTGCGACCTAACCAACGAGCTCACCGATGAAATACAGAAGCTGCCGGAAAACATAACCAGAGCAGAGAAGGCTTTAAAAGCTGAGCAGTTAAAATACGATAACTTGCTGCAGATTAGACCGAATATTTTGAAGATAAAAGATCTGAAGGCAACGCTGCCCCAGAAGAAGGAAGATTTGAAAAAAGTCGAGGAACTACTAGGCGAGAGCGTCAGCGAATACGAAACGCTGTTGGCACTGATTGGAGAGCCCACTCACAACATGGAGTTGGCCAATTCGATGATGGGCGATATGACGTTGCTTGATGAGGCCTTAAAGGACTCGTTGCGCCTCACAAAGGATCTGGATCTGCAGAAGGTAAGTGGTAGTGAAAGCAATAACTTTGATTTTAATGTTTCCTTTTAATTAAAGGCCAAGTTGCCCGCTTCCTATGATGCCAGCGTGTCGATGGATGCCTTGCAAGCGGAGAAGAGTCAAGTTTCTAGGGACCTGGAAACGGAGCGCAAGGACTTGGAAGTCACTCAGAATACATTCCAGCAGCACATGGATGCCATAAATCGTTTGCGTGAAATGAAAAATAGGTAAAGACACATAATAAGGCAAAGAAAATATAGGACATAAGTCAGCTCCGATTCTTGCCAGCCTGAAGGACCGGCAAATTGTTTTGCAGGAAGGTGTGCAAAGTCTGCCACAGCTTAAGGAGCGGCTTGAGAAGCTCACCAATTTCTTGATTACCGTGGCCAAGGAAATTAGCGACCTTAGGGCAAAAATTCTGCCTCTGAAGCAGAACCTGAGGGCGGCCGTCGAAGAAAAGGATCGTCTGAAGGAGATAGAGCGAGCCCAGCTAGTCCAGTTGAATTCCAAATATAATTCCTACAAAAGCACAGATCAGGATATTCAGAGGTAAGTGCTAGTAGCATTCACTATTTGCTTTAACTTTACCCCTTCCTTAAGATTGAATAAAGAAGCTCAGGAATATGCCAAGTTGGATTTGCCAAATGAAATCCAAAAACTCGAGGACATCATCAAGACCACCAAAGATGAGCTGAAACAGTTGGTAAGTACTGGCAACTTCAATTATTAAAATATCTCAAATTTACCGCGCTTATTTCCAGGAATCGCAAATCACTTTGAAGGCCGATCAACTGGAGACCATTAAGACCGAGTGCCTCAACCAGCAGACGGTTGAACGAGATCTGAAAGACAATCGTGAGTTGAAGCAGCTGCAGGAGAAGGAATCGAAGCTGAACGAGGGCTGCCAGTCGCTCAACAAGCTGCTGGGCAACATGGACTTCCGCAGCGTTAGCAAGGAGAAAGTGGAACTAACCAAGCGACGGGACACGGCCACAGTGCGTAAGGGAGAGCTGCTGGGCCAGCTGGGGGAGATTAACAGCCAGGTGGGCAAGCTGCAGCGGGAGATCGACGAGCCCAGGTTCAAGGAGTCGCTGAAGAACTATCGCAAGGCCAACTTCGAGCTGCTGGTCACGCGGCGCAGCATCGAGGACCTGGGCCAGCATCGCTTGGCCCTGGAGTGGGCCCTCATCCAGTTCCATGCCGAGAAGATGGAGAAAATCAATCGCCTGATACGTGAGTACTGGCGGATGATATACCGCGGCAACGACATCGACTACATACAGGTGAAGACCGAGGATGGTAACTCAGATGCGTCGGCGGATCGCCGCAAGACCTACAACTATCGGGTGGTTCAGTCGAAGAACAATGCCGAAATCGAGATGAGGGGACGCTGCAGTGCGGGTCAACGCGTTCTGGCCTCCCTTATCATTCGCATGGCTCTGGCGGAGACATTCAGCAGCAATTGCGGCGTGCTGGCCCTGGATGAGCCGACCACGAACTTGGATCGCGTTAATATCACGTCCCTCTGCGATGCCCTCAACTGTATTGTGGAGGAGCGTCAGAGCCAGTCGAATTTCATGCTCATTATCATCACGCACGACGAGAACTTCATCTCGTCGCTGGGCAAGATCACCAACTACCACCGGGTCTTCCGCAACGATGACTGCAAATCGGTCATCAGGAAGGTGCAGGTCGGTTGATCAAAAGAAATACACGAACAATAAAATGTACTTTGTTATTTATCTAAAATGTACGTTTGCTTATCTTGTCATCACATTAATTTGGGAATTGGGTGTGTTGTCATTTAATAATAGAGTTTATTCGTCTCTCCATGCGGCTGCTTACTGTTCTTTTGTCCGTGCTCGTGGCCATTCATGGCTACTCCATGCAGTTTGGCAGGATGCACAGGGCGTCCGTTCCCATTTACGACGCTGAATTCAAGTTGAATCACTCTGCGGACTATATAGACGTGCAGTTCAAACAAAAGGTAATAAAACTGGATTGCTTTAATTTAATATTAAAGCTTTTGTATTTATTTCTAAGTCGACTGCATTGAGTTTCAATATAAACATGATATTGGTCCTCGATGAAAGCGATTGGGACCGAAGAGGCCGTGCAATTATTCTGTCTGGTGGTGTAGGAGTCAACTTTACCACCCTGAGACTGATGTACTCTCGGCCCAAGGGAGGGAAGATCACTGTACTCATATACGGATTGCCTCGGAATCGACCTATCCTAGATCTTAACACGAAATAGCCTCAATTATCCTTAGGGTCCCTCCAATGGTACCCGTCGTCTGGCAGATCGCTCCGGATCAGCGGTGATAGCCAGGCTATGTGCATGCGGTTGCCAAAAACAGTCCGTAAATTCCGATACACTCCCCGATCGTACTTAAGTTTGCTCTCCTTGGTGCGATCCGCCGACACGCCACCCCGCAGAACGATGGGCACGTGGTAGCCCAACAGAAGAACTCCATAAGCCAGGGCAAGGATATTCAAGCTGTAGAAGAGCAGGTACAGGTTGCTCCAGAGGCTGCCAGTCACCAGGAGCAGCATGGGACAGGTCAGCTTCAGCAGAGTCAGCCAGTTGCAGTAGACGTGGCCCTGGATGATCCACATGTAAATGGAGTTGTACACCAAGGCATACACCGAACCCACGAACAGATAAAAGATGAAGCCCATGAAGAAGCGATGGTTCCGCAGGCCGATGCAGCAGCCCGTGTACAGGCAGTGGTGATCCCTCTTCAGAACGCACACCTTACAGATCTTGCAGTGCCAAGATCGAGGAGGAGCCAACCGAGGAGGTGTGCACTCGGTGCACTCCCGCCAATCCAAAGAATCCGCTGGGGGCTCCACCTTTTTGACTGGGAAATTGAATTAAAACTGGGGGGAACCATAATACGAATAAACTATAGCTTACCATCCACACTTGTGTCGACCATCATGCAGGCAATCATGTTTCCCTTGATATTAAACACCAAAAACATGGCCATCAGGAAGGTGAAGGTGTGAAAGAAGCCACCTGGCTCATGGAAAGCGGGCAGCACCACCACAATCTCGAACATGAAGACCACCGGCAGGAAGATCCCTATGAGCAGGAAACACAGGACATCCACCAGCCGCCGGGGCAGCGGGTTGCTGCGGATTCTCATGATTCTCTCCCGAACTGAGAAAAAATGTAAACAAATGGGGACCGATCGCAAAGCAGCTGATGGGAGAACTGGCTAGCTCCAGCCAGCCGGTTGGCGGTGTCGTCACGTGCGTGTAAGCTTTATTTTATCAAGCTTTTGGGGCCAAAGCTGATGATAGGTTGCTGCCAGTGAAAAGCTCAAGTGTTTTAAGTGTTTGCGGCGAAAAGTTTACGATGCACTAACGGCCTTCACCCCCTTCTCCACCATTAAGTCGATGTTGCCGCTTGCCCGAGTTCAATATAATTTGATAAACTCTAAAGTTAAGCGAATTACAGTTTGATATCGAACGCGTGGAAGCGTAAAACTGTGGCAATGCACTTATCTCATCACAGGTACCACACGGCGCATGTTTGATGGCTCTCAAATATGTAATATATGTATGTTTAATGCCTGCGGCAATGGGCAACACTGAGAATTTAATTAAGTTGAAAGGATTCACTCCGCCACAAATCACAGTAATCAAGGTAAATCCTTAATTACATGGCTCTTTAGTGCCGACAGCGGATTGATGGCTCTAGCAAGTATTTATGGCGGAGTCAAGTGGCATTAAGTAAACAGTTGAAAATGGAAGTGTCGGTGGTGTCTAGCAGCACAAGGCGCGAGGGGCAGGGATCTTCAGGATCCTGGCTGTTCCTGTTCAAGAGCTTTTCAAGGAGTCTGCGGCAGTTCCTCAGCGAGACCGGTTTGCATGGTCTGAAATTTGTGGGGGATCCCAATCTCAGCAATTGGGAGAGGTGGGACTCCTTTTTCTAGAACTAATAAAGGATTAATCTATGCAAGGGTAAATCCCTTTCAGATCCTTCTTCTTTGGCTCCTTTGTTACGGCTCTTGTCATCACCATCCACCTGATTTCGAACATCTATGTCAAGTGGGGCAGCACTCCGGTGATAATTGGCATCAGTCCCCATGCCACCTCCATACTGAAGGTTCCCTTTCCGGCCATCACCATCTGCAACATGAATCAAGTGCAAAAGAGTCGGGTGTCTAATTACAGCGAGTGAGTGTGTGTATCCTTTCCTTTAATGAGTGAAAAATTAATTATTTAAATATAGGGGCTCCAACGAGAGTGCTCTTTTGAAGCTATTGTGCGACGCGGATAACTTGGATGAGGAACTGCGCGACGCTCAGTTGGCTGGAAACACCCTGAAGATATCCGACTTTGTGGCTAATCACTCTCAGGCCTGCGAGAGAATGCTACTCTTTTGCAGATTCAGTGCCGTCGAGCGGAACTGCTCGCATCTGTTCCAGCAGGTCCTTACGGATGAGGGCCTGTGCTGCGTCTTCAATTTTCAGCCTCCGGAATATTTATACAAGCCATTGTGAGTTGATTTATTATTATTACAATTTGAGGTATAACTTGTTAAATAGCTCCGATAGCGGACGAAATCTGACATCTGAAAGTGGCTTTGAGAGCGTGAAATGGGATCCGGAGACGGGTTATCCTGAGAAATTGCCTCCCAGATTTTATCCCTCCACATCAAGTGGTAGGTTATAGATTTCAGATTTTAATTATAATATAATAAATCCAAATTAAAATGTAGGCACAGGCATCACCTTGGGATTTACTGCTGTTCTGGATGCTGAAATGAGCGAGTATTTTTGCTCCTCGACCAATGGACCAGGTTTTAAGGTAAGTTCACAAGGATTTCTATCTTTCTTAACAAGTATATACTTTACAGGTCTACTTTCACAATCCCGTGGAGGTACCTATGGTCAAGGAGGCTGGCTTAATTACAGCCATTGGCTATGAGACCAATTACCGCATCGAAATGGTTCGTTCCGAGGCAGTTCCCGCCATTCGCTCCATATCCCGCGATGGCCGGCAGTGCTTGTTCAAAAACGAAAAGGACCTGATCTTCTACAGTATCTACACCCGCCTCAATTGCGAAAACGAGTGCCTGGCTGCTTATCTGTACGACAACTGTGCCTGCATTCCCTATGATTATCCGCAAATCTACAGCAATGCCACCACCTGTACCATGCGGGACGCTCATTGTGTCCGACGCGCCCAAAAGGCAGCCATTCGGCAGGGAGAGGTCAAGTGTCTGAGTCAATGCCTGCCCAGTTGTTTCGATCTGAACTACTTGGCCAGCGGCTTTTCTTTTCCGTTGGCCACCGGCAAATTTCAGCTGGCCAACGGGCTGGTGGAGGGCTTCAACAAGTCGTATCTGAGCGAGAATATAGCCGTAATCAATGTGTACTTCCGGGAGTCTGTTTACTACGGAAATATGAAGAATGCTTACGTGGGTTTGACGGAGTTTCTGTGTAAGTGAAAAGATTTTTTGATAGGAATTTATTGAGAATAAGAATTCTTATTTATAGCCAATGTTGGCGGTGTAATGGGTCTGTTCATGGGTTTCAGTGTCATCTCATTGGCTGAGATTCTCTACTTTCTGATACTCAAACCCCTCTCAGAGCTCTTCGTTTGGAAAAGGTCCTCCCAAGTGGACCCTGTTAAAAGTCTAAAACATAATGCTTTTGCCATAGAACATCCGGAAACCTTGAATAATTCAACTTTCTGGCATCCACAGGAACTGTACCCCAAGGGTTTTACATTGAAAGCCACCGAAAGGGTGAGACGGATGAAGAGAAATAAAAATATAACGAATGCCTTTGTTAAGTAAGAAATTATTTATGTATAATCACATAATAGGGATACATATGTAATCTGCCATGTCATGCATCTCATTGGCTGACACTAACAAAATAAAAGCGTAAAACATTATGACTGGAAGCTAGTTTATGGTTTTCCCTTTCATTTGTTCAGGAAAGCCACGAAAAAAGCAGGAATAATTGATTTAAACATGAAGTGAATGCAATGCACATTTAAATAATGCATTTGGAATGAAAACCATTTTATGCGGTGAGCATAGAAACATATTTTAAGCCCTGTAAATGGTATTTAATTTAATAATTTTTAGGGGTAAGTAAGAACTATTAAAAAGTGTAATTTAACAGATATCCTGACTCCATTTTAAGCCTCTTCAATACACTCAACAAGGCTAACCAAGCAGTTCTAATATCTCGATTAAATACCGAGGGAAAGGTAAACTTTTTGACTCTTTTAAACGGTCTTAAAGTGCAAACTTTGATATATGCCATGCATACCTATATGTGTGTATGTAGTATCCTTTACTTCCCCCATCCAGTTGCTCCCCTGATGGAGTGCCGAGCAGCTGGAGCAGATGTGCTCGAGCAAGGAAAGGGTCTTTGGTAATAGAATACTCCAGCGCCTAATGCAATTAGCAAAGTTTCCTGGTTAAAAGGGCGGCCGTTGAGGTTCGTCGACTTACTTTTGTGTATGGTACTCTGCCTATTTATGCGATATATTTTATGTCAATAAGAGCATTTTGGCCAAAATTACTTTTTGCCAAGGCAGCAGTCGCCCTGCTTAACTATGTACTGCCACGATTGTATGTATTTCGGTAGTAAAGCAAGAATGGCACTTGGGGGCTACCAACCACCTCCACCTCCACCTCTGCCACCATCTTGGCCGCGTTGAAGATGGCACATTTCTGCGCCGACTTGCACTCTGGCGGAAATTCCTTTGCTGGGAACACGCTCCGCTTTCTGAGCGTTAATTGCTGACCTCAACCTGCACATAAAGCGACTAATTTTCGCACACAGCGTTGCGTGGGTGAGTGGTCCTAGGTCCTGCATAGCTGCATGAATTGTGCGGCACAGTTTCCCCGACAGCATCCTGCGTGGTCGGTCCTTTTTCTACTGCTGCAGGATTTCTTCTTAAACCGCCCGAAGGCTGCGAGAATGAACGAAATGAAATGCATTCGCATTCGCACAGTTGAAGACAATTTGCAAAATTGCATCGCTCTTGATGTTTTCACGTGCATTCCATCTGTTTTCCGCCCCCGTGTTTTTATGGCAAGTCAACAATATGCTGCTGGTCCGGCACAGTGCGTCCCATAGCCGTAGGAATTTACCTGAATATTTTCTATGAAAAGCCAGAGAGAAAAAAGGTAGAGAAATTGAAATTCAAATTCCGCTGGCTTCCAGCATCCAATTGAATTTCGGGCGGCTATCAAATAAAAGTTGTTTGCCTTCTGAACTCTTGTTTATCTTTGTCAGCTTTAGAGATTATCTTTTCTGCACATTTATTTGCTTACAAAACGTCCAACAATTTCGAAATGCACTGTAGAGGGGGCGGGCGAGTTCAGGACTTGGGGTTTTTTCGAGGGTGTTTTGCCATCTAAAACCGAGTACAAAAAGCTTTGCTCTCGACCATCTTTCAGGCGATAAGACAACTGGTGCAAATGATTACGACGTGTTCCCTGGGCCACCGTATATCTATACGTCTGAGGGGGAGGAGGAGATGTGCCCGAGATGTAACCCCAGCTAGGAGCTTCGTAAATGTCAAGAACAGAACTAGATTCAATTCTTTATGGCCGTGTTAACGAGCCAATTCTCCCCTGGATGCTGGCGAGGAGCAACCGCAACGAAGAACTTTGGCACTGAATGAAAAATTATGCCATTAAAATGGATGAAACCGAACCACAAATAATCCTTAAAGCCCTGCCAGGCCAGGCACTGTCACTCGGTTAGTTTCTGGGGCGAACTAAGAGGAGATAGCGACCTCAGCACACGAGTAATTAACAGCAAATTTTCTGCCAAAGTTATCAAGTTGACAATAAAGTTTTACCCACCAACTCTAGCTCTATCTCTATCTCCATCTCTATCTCTCTCTCTCCTCGAGGCGCAGCCCACCTGATTAAGGTATAAATATTTGATTCTAGTGTGGGAGCCCCGCCAGAACCCAAGAAGGGTGCGACGGCTCCGTGGCCTGGCATTGTCAACTTTATGGGCTTCCTGTCGCACCCGGCTCAGTTATGCATGGAAGTGTATTCATCAAAATGTAGTCTCGCAAATGTCTGCGTAAATGCTGCACGTGTGCCGTGGGTTATGGAAGGGATGGAAAGGGTTCTCCCCAACCGGATGAGAATGATTCGTATGCAAGCTGGTGGCGGAGGGGGGCAAAGCAATTCGATCGAAAGCCAAGGAAGCTCTACAGAGCTCTGCAGACCTCGGGGGAGAAGTTGCATGCGGAAAAGCAATTAAAACTTCTTGTCAGTGTCTCGGAAGTGTTTGTTCATATTTTATGATGTTTTTCGTGTAGAAAGCTGGATTATGAATGTGTCACCAAGAAGTGTTGTCGCTGCTTCATCTCTCTGCTTCCTCCTGGCATGCAACAAGCGACGTTGTCATTGAGGTTGCAAAAGTAATGTATAAAATATCACACATCCGCCCCATTGGACGGAGCAAGCAAGACCGAAGGCCGAACTATAACAAAATTTAAAATGCGTCAACTTCATGGGTAAACACAACACATGGGAGAGTGTAAACAAAACTTTAAGCCCGGCCTGACCTTTATTTTCGACAGCATTTGATTGAATTATTAATAGAATGTTAGATTGGGAATGGAAAATGGCATTCAAAGGAGTCTTTCCCCTTCTATATACACACACCTTAAGTGCATCGATATTTTCTCGAAGCATTTTGACGTCTGCCACTTAGAAAGGCACACACAGCTTGGCTATAATATTTGGCTAATGGAACCCCCCAGCGATTGGTGTAGCAGCCATAATGGCAATCACCTATGGCTGAATGTGTGTGCATCCCCCGTATCACATACACTCGCCCCGTCCACCCACTCATATTTGACGCGGTGGCCCACAAGAATGGCTTCCCTGGGTGCCGCCAGCTAAACTCGGTGCTAAAACTCGTCACAAATATGCAAATTTCGGGCGCCCACTCCAGCAGCACCTGCCTAATGCACCAAAATGCATTTGAAATTGGGTAATTTTACACATGCAACGCCGCAGGCGACATTGTCGAGATGGTTGTGTGGGTGGCGGGGAGAGGGCTTAAAAATGTATTTTGGCTTTTGGATTGGACAGATAGAATTCAGGGCAACACAAACATACAAACATGCATACAGACGTACGACGAAGTGCTGAATGTTCAAGTGGGGTCCGGGATAAGCCCCACCGACAGGCTGAATAATCAGGACCATCAATCAGGACTCCGAGCCCTGCACACCTCATTAGGCTAATCGTACAATTGCGCACGGCCGGACACACACAAAAAACATGGGTCTCTGTCCTCGGACTGCCTCGGGGGGGGAGGCTTCCACTGGGCGGGGATCTGGTCTGGTTTAACCGCACCGCAATTTGCCCTTATGCGCTAAACAATATTTCATTTTTAAGAGTTGACTTTTCACGCTCGCCGACAGGCGGCTTAACATTTTAAATCCATTGTGGCGCCACCGCAAGGACTTTTCGACTTTTCCTGCTATTTTATTAATGTGCAACTGCGCCGCCGCCTTTGTGAATCCTTAATCAGCGGCCGGGGCTTTAGCCTACATATATCTGTACTTTGTAATTATATTCAAAAACACAAAATATGGAAATACGGCAAGTGAGCCCAAAAACATTGAAATCACTTCCTGAAAACAGTCAGCCAGCCGGAGCAGAGCGCCTTCCATTAAAGTGCTTTGTTTTGAATTCGATTTGTTCCCAGTATTTTCTCCTGCTACGGTGTTAGTACGCAGAATCTCCTGAAAGGGGGACAGCATCCACAGTTGGGTCGACTTTCAGCTTCAGTCCTCCACAGATGGTTGAGCTTGGCAGTCGGAGCTGCGGCCCCTTTTTGTGGGGGATTTCAAGACCAAAAAAATAACGAAAATATCTAAAATTGATTTACGTTTCCTAATGTGGGGAATGTTGCAAACAAAGCAACTTTATTGATGTATTTTTGCCCATTCATGGCATACATGTCACTCATACGTACTGTAGGCCTTTGGGAGCAGATAGGTTTTAATTTACTGCCACAATTGGTTTTAATTGATCTATGAATTTCCATTCAAAAAGCAGTTTAGGCTTAATGCCTAGTCAGCATACATAGAGAGAAAAAATAGTTCACTTTCGCAAATATTTAGATATGATTTATGTGCAAAATTAACAATTTATTAGGTTTTTAAAGTATTGAAGTTATTTATTTATTATACTTAATAAAGATTTACATATTTTCTCTTACTTATTGGATATTTAGGTAATAAATTGATATTTCTATAAAATTGAATATTTAAATCGATAAATGTCCTATAAATCGAACTGATTTTTATATCGAAAGTCAGCAAATCTTGTTCGGTTGTTTAGTATTTCTTACAAATTAGACAGATTCTTCCTATAAGTGGTTCCCTCATAAGCAGCAATTTTTTTTTAAAGTAAATAAAATGGTAAGACAATATTTCTTTGGATAATATCGAAAATATCGATATCTTAACGTGCGATAAATGTTCAACTTTGCAATATTAAGAATTTCGATATATCGAACATGTATTGATCATGATATTTAATTTTAATTTAAGGTTTTACCCATATGTATATTCTTCAGTGCATTTGCTATTAAACAAAAACGTAGATGGCTTGTGGTATTCAAATAAAACTCATTGGCCTGTCAAATGCGTGCTCTAGCGACCAAATTGATAAATTTCCATTTTATTTAATAACTGAACGGATAAACTTGGCCCCCACGTATCCATATCCTGATGCGTGCGGCTAACATGCATATAATTTTGCCATTCATCTCGAATTTGATCCAACTATGAGCT